GCGAAAGGTCTTCTCACAGAAGAGCGAAAGGTTTTCTCTTAGAAGAGCGAAAGGTCTTCTCTTAGAAGAGCGAAAGGTCTTCGCATAGAAGAGCGAAAGGTCTTCTCGTAGAAGAGCGAAAGATCTTCGCATAGAAGGGCGAAAGGTCTTCTCTTAGAAGAGCGAAAGGTCTTCTCTTAGAAGAGCGAAAGGTCTTCTCGTAGAAGAGCGAGAGGTCTTCTCATAGAAGAGCGAGAGGTCTTCTCATAGAAGAGCGAGAGGTCTTCTCATAGAAGAGCGAGAGGTCTTCTCATAGAAGAGCGAGAGGTCTTCTCATAGAAGAGCGAGAGGTCTTCTCATAGAAGAGCGAGAGGTCTTCTCATAGAAGAGCGAGAGGTCTTCTCGTAGAAGAGCGAGAGGTCTTCTCATAGAAGAGCGAGAGGTCTTCTCATAGAAGAGCGAAAGGTTTTCTCACAGAAGAGCGAAAGGTTTTCTCACAGAAGAGCGAAAGGTCTTCTCATAGAAGAGTGAAAGGTCTTCCCATAGAAGAGCGAAATATCTTCCCATAGAAGAGCGAAATATCTTCCCATAGAAGAGCGAAATATCTTCTCATAGAAAGGTAAAAATTCTTCCCATAGAAGAGTGAAAGGTCTTTTCATAGAAGAGCGAAAGGTCTTCGCATAAAAGAACAAAAGGACTTCTCATAGAAGAGAGAAATATCTTCTCACAGAAGAGCGAAATGTCTTCTTTCACAGAAGACCCAAAGGTCTTGTCTCTTAAAAGACTCAAAGGTCTTCTGAGAGAATGCTAGAAAGTCTACTCATTGAAAGCCCAAAGGTCTTCTTATAGAAGACCAGCTGGTCTTCTGATAGAAAACCAAACCCAAAGATCACCTGAATTAAAATAGTATTCCACTATCACTCTAATTTGCAAAACAAAAATATTTAAACAATTACATACGTACATATTTACATACGTGTGATTACAAAGGCTACAAACAAACTGTCTACTCTGTCATTTAATGCGGCAAATATGAATGTAGATTAGAATGAATTATTTAACAATATCAACAACAAGAACAATAACAAAAGTCATAAACAAAACCAAACAACTGCAAATACGGAACATTTACATACTAAGTACACATTCCCGCCGCCAGTTAGCAGACGTCGAGTCGAGTTGAGTCGAGTCGAGCGTCAACTGCTACTCTATTTTTTATTGTTATTTGGAATTCATATTTGTAAATAAATAAATAAATGAATAAATTTCCATGGCGTTTATATTTACATGCAAAATAAGCTATACTATATTTACTGGAGCTTATATAACAATTGTATGTGTGTATCGCATATTTAAATGGATCAATTACATCGATGCTAATCAATAACAAAAACCCGAGTCAGTCCCTTTAACTGTGGCCAGGCAGGCAGGCGGCTTAGTCATTCATGCATATTCAAGTGTGATAGCTGATGAAAAAAACAAATATTTTTGAAATAATTTATAATGACAAACGAACAACTACGAACTGGATGTATGTGACTGGGTAGATCACCCTGTTCAAATATATCTGTACTTAAGCGAAAAATAAGAAAGAAGAGGTAGAAATCGTATGAGGCACCAATTCTAGAGGATATTCAGGGAGTCTTCTATGTGTAGAACACCCCCAAAGGTTCTTCTTAAGACAGAATTCTTCTATGAATAGAACATCTTTCAGATATTGTCTAAAGGCGTAAGATGTCTTATATGGAGGACTTTTTTATAAGAAGTCAGTCAATAGGGGTTTTATAAATAGAAGGTCTTTAAGAGGTTTTCAGTATAAAAACATTGTTAGAAGGTCAAAACTTATCCTATTTAACAAAAATCGCTTAGTTATAGAATATTACAATAGGTGTTTTTCAGAAGAATACATCTTCAACAAATATATTATATTTAGAAGGACCAGGAGTTTTATATAAATACCAGCAAGTGTTAGCTAATTCTTCTGCAAAAAGTCCACTCTAATATTTTGGATTTGTTCCAAGAGTTAGACGTTCCTATTTATACCCTCCACCATACTATGGAGGGTATATTAACTTTGTCATTCCGTTTGTAACTCCTAGAAATTTACATTTTAGACCCATAATAACTGCAACAAAGTCAAACGCCATAATTTTACATTTTTTGTTTACATTTTATTGAATGAAAGCCAAAAAAATATCGGAAATAGCATCAAATTTTAGAAGAAGTTTAGATTTGTTCGAATTGGTCACCTTTGGCACGACTTATGACCTTCAGACGGCCAATGAAACCGTTACACGCTGCTCGAATGGTGCTCTGCGGTGTTTTGGTCCTTTCCCGGCGAAGCGCTTGCTCGAGGTGATCGACACTTTGGTATTTTTTAGTACAAACCTTGTTTTCCAAAATACTACAGACACAATAGTCCAACGGATTGTTATCCGGAGATGTTGGTGGCCATTGTGCGCTGGAAATGAAGCGAGGAACCTCATTTTATAACCATTCTTGGGTGGCGCGTGCTGAGTGCGATGGTGCTGGCTTTAATACACCCTCCAAAATATTTTCGCGATAATGTTTGGCATTTATTCTGATGTCATGGTCGATTAATACGAGCGGAGAGCGACCATCGGCCGTTATGGCGGCATACACCATCACCATGGCTGGCGCTTGAGTTATGGTGGTGGCACCGAAGGTGCACATTTTCAAACTGCTGGACAACGAATGTTTTCTCATCGGAGAAAACCAAGTTAGGCAGTTCACAACTTTCGGCCAAGCGAAGCAACTCTTTAGCTCTTTTGAGTCTATTGCGGTGTCTTTCTGTTTTGGTGTAAGTTCTTGCACTTTTTAGAATTTTAATGACTTTATCCCGAGCTTATTTTTCAATATTTGCCGAATGGAATATTGCGATTTGGAATATTCCAACCGGGACCTCAAGATAAAATATCAGGATTCGAAATCATAAATTCACTCAATATCAAATTTAGTACTTTTTGTATAATTTTAGTACTAATTTGGAAAATCAATCACAAACTCCAACTGTGACAAATTATCCAAATTTAGTAATATTTAGTACTTTCGTACAATTATAGTAAAGATTTTTAAAGTCCACTCCATATCTCAATTCCAGTTGCCAATATCCATTTTGGGGATTCAAGCTCTATTTCTTTACCCAATGCCCATTTAGTACTATTAAATACTTTTCTTAAAATTATAGTACACATTTCCAAAATCACCTCCATATCTCAATTCCAGATACCCATAGAGACCTTAACATCAAATTTGAGGATAACAGCCCCATCTCTTTACCCAAAACCAAATTTAGTACTATTTACTACTTTTCGTACAAATATAGGACGCATTTCCAAACCACTGCCAAATCTCAAACTTAGATACCCATAGTTATCTAATATCAAATTTCAGAATTGTATTTCTATCTCTTCAACCATGTATATAGTACACATTTCCGAAACCACCTCCATATGTGCAGGCTACACACGAACAGCGACCCTAATACAAAATTCTATATTTCAAGCAATATTTGTTCACCCAATACCAAATTGTACAAAAATAATTACTTTTTAGTACTTTTGGTTCATTTGTAGTACACATTTCCAAAACCACCTCTTTATCACAAACCTACCATCAAAAGGGAACCCAATACAATATTTCGAAATTACAGGTTCATCCGTGCACCCTAAACTAAATTATTCCTAATTTTAGTGTCATTTAGTACATTTGACACACTTAGCCCATATTTCCAAAACTATGTCCATACACCGAACCTATTTTCCAACCTTGATTTTCATACCAAATTACAAGTTATTACCTCTATCCGTTCGTATAATACCAAATAGTACCATTTTAGAACTTTACTACCATTTTAGAACTTTTCGTTAACTTTAGATTTAGATTTCATAAAACCCTTTGGCATCTATCCGGCACTCCATCAGCGACTCTCGTTCCAAGTTTCAAAATTCTAAATTATGCCGTCTGTCCAATTTTTGTACTATTCTTATCCTTTTAGTAGGTATTCCCAAAAATTCAGTCTTATTACACGTCTACGCAGCAAGACAGACATGCAAAATTTCTAGCTTCAGCCGTTTCGTCTGGGCTTAGATTTTCAGTCAGTCAATGAGTTATTTCACTTCTCTTTTATATATAGAGATAGAAAACCTTTAACTGAATTGAATTCATCTGTATATAAAGCTTCTAAAAGGGCTTCTACTTTCTGGAGAATATTTCGATCCTGTTCCTGCAGAAAGTTACTTAACAAAAATTTCTAAATTGAGTATATCCCTACAAAAACCATTTGCTCAAAAAAAATTGTTTTTTATACAAAAGTTGCATTTAATTCAGGCCTTGTCAGGAAAAAATGAATTCATTTATTTCTGATTTATTTTTTTCCACCGCAAAAACTCAATGTGGAAATATTTTAAACTTGAAAAATTAATCATATTTTTTTGGAAGATTTTCTCTTTTTTTTCTAACATTGGAGAAAATTTTGAATACTTTGAGGATACATTATATTTTATAGCACAAACATGATGAAAGCATTCGCGCTTTGCTGCCCACTTATGGCGATTGCATATTTATAATTCATGCAATTTCCAACAACATTTGTAGGTGAAAATTCCTTAAGTTTTGTATTTTATATCCCGCACAGACATATCTGTTTTATTTTATAAACCGAAAAAAAAATTTTAAAAATGTAAAATATTCCACCAATAAAATAAATTCTACATCAAAGTGTTTGAAAACAAATATGAATAACACTGTTTATAGCCAATTAACATCATTATAAACATCGAATATTCTTTGATTTAAATATTTCCGAAGTGGTGTGTATTTGTCGATTTCCAAACAAATGTGTGAAGTGCAAAAATCCATTTAACCGTAGCCTATTTAAAATCTTGTTAATCAATTTATTTATAATAACAACAATTCTTTGTTAACATGAAAATGACGTTATTCCAGATCAAAATATATAAACTCTATATTTGTTTGTTTTTTTCCTTCTTCCATTCCAGATATGAACGTCTCTTACATCGTGCTCAAATCGAAGATCTAAGCGAGGTATCCGGCATCGGTTGTTTATATCAGAGCGGCGTTGATCGTCTGGGCAGACCAGTGATAGTGTTTTGTGGCAAATGGTTCCCAGCACACAATATCGATTTGGAAAAGGTAAGGGGGAGATATGAAATAGCTCATTCAATATGTGCGTGTGTGTGATTAACTCTTTTCTTTTTCCAATTCCTTTGCAGGCCTTATTATATTTGATAAAACTCTTGGATCCCATCGTTAAAGGAGACTATGTTATCGCTTACTTCCACACATTGACCACAACAAATAATTATCCATCATTGCATTGGTTGCGTGATGTCTACAGTGTATTGCCTTACAAGTGAGTTTTGAAAAATTTTATTAGGCTTCAAAGATTTATTTGAAAGGTTACAGATAATTTGAAGAAAAAGATCATCTTGATGAATTTTCCATTGTAAAATATTGCTGATTTAATTTTATTGATAGAAGAACTTTAGACATTGATAAATTTAGTTTTCAGCAGGACGAAACAATTTCGTATTAAATATTTGAAAAGGGATACTACTTTTCAAATATTTAATACGAACAAGTAAAAAACCAGTAAATAAAGTCCTGAAGTCGGGCGGAGCCGACTTTATGATACCCTACACCACTTTGCTAATTTAGTAGAGCTCCACATAACAATTAAAAGTTTTTATGGGAGAATTCAATCATACACGCTATGATTATAATTATAATTTAGAGTTCGAAGGACTAAATATGCCGAAGCATTTGTATCTTTTAAATTCGGACTTGTATTGCCCATTTGGTGCAAAATTAATTTGAAATCAGATAAAGATATATATGGGAGCTATATCCAAATCTGAACCGATCTCGATAAAATTTGGCAAAGATATTTCTGAGTTGTATTTGATATATTTCCCTAAATATCGTTGTTACGGACTGCATATTATGGCTGTGGGTAACAAATATAACAAATCGGATGAACAGTATATATGGGAGCTATAGCTATATCTGAACCGATTTTCAACAAATTTGGCATACTAGCTTCCAGACTCAATTCGGTCGTATGTGCCAAATTTCATCACATTTGGGTAAACATTAAACGTTTGGTGTACAATAAAAAGTAAATCGGACGAAGTTATATATGGGAGCTATATCCAAATCGGAACCGATCTCGATAAAATTTTGCAAAGGTATTTCTGAGCTGCGTTTGATATATTTCCCCGAATATTGTTGTTACAGAGTGCATATTACGGCTGCGGAGGACAAAAATAACAAATCGGATGAACAGTAAGACCTTTTGAATAATGCTGTTAAATTAAAAAAAAAAAAACATAAAAAGGAGAATGTTAGGCCGTTATATAAGAAACTCCATAGACAATTTAATACTTCAAGGATTGTCATCTACCAAATCTTCAAAAATACAATATTTGAAACAATTTTGTGTGTAAATGTGACTAGGATTATCAAAATACCAAAAATCGGTATTTTATCGGGAGGTATAGTCATATAGGGGCCATACATAAATTGTGGATCTATATATACAATGTTCTTTCGCCGGAGCTAGAACCCATTATGAACTACAAATGCCAATTTTTACACAAATTTGTTGAAAAATGTGCCTAAAATTATCAAAATATCGAATATCGAGAGGTACCGTTATATGGGGCCTATCTGAAATACTGGACCCACAAGACCATTTACGAACATAACCTGCTTACTGGCAAAATACAGACTTGCGAAATTTTAGCCTTTTATATAAATTCGTTCGAAATATAGCGTGAATGACAATGTTAATATACCCTCTAAAGTATGGTGGAGGGTATAACTAGTAAGACAATGTTAATATACCCTCCAAAGGTCTAAATAATCGCGTATGCAAGTCCTCGACGTCCTATAACCCCCATATAACGATACCTCCCTATATTCGTCAATTTCATGATTTTAGCGGTATCATTCACCAGATTTTTTTTTTCAAATTTCCTAATTGAAGTTCATAATGGGTCCTACAGCCTATGACAAAAAATATCTTATGAGAGAACACGTCTACTTATAGTCCCTATATAAGGTGTTTCATTTGAGAGGCATTTTTCTGCGGATTTTGCTTTGGGAATTTTTCAAGTTCCTTCAACATGGTTTGTTTTTAAATAAGACACGCAGTTTTCATTTAAAACTATTGCTAAAAGAAAGTTTCGCATCACATTAGAAGCATATGTACCATTTCATAATAATAGCATACTTTAAGGCGCTCCCCATAATTTTTAAATTGAAGGTTAAATTAAATGTTAAATAAATATTATAAATTAATCTTAATTATAATATTATAAATTAAGGAGTAAAAAGTGAGTCACTTATTCACTGATTCATAAACACCCAGGCGAAACGGCTGAAGCTAGATTGCTTGTAGGCCAATATTGGTGGGTAGGGGTTAGATGAGGCCGGGTTTTTAGAAATTCGGTCTAGAAGTGTACAAAATGTTCTAAACTGTACAAAATATGTAAAATGAGGGTCACTGATGCAGTGCAGTACCAAAAGGTTTTTGGAAAATCCAATTTTATGGTTACGAAAAGCTCGAAAATAATACTTCTAAAATGGTACCTTTTGGTATTACGTGAACGGATAGAGCTAAAAACTTGAAATTTGGCATGAGAATCAAGATTGGGTGAAGGGAAAGTACTGAAATCCTGAAATTTGATATAGATGTCACTGCTGGTATCTGTAGTTGAGATTTGTTTAAAAAGTACTATGTGGCACTAAATTGGGTATTAGGTGAAGAAATATATCAGGAATCCCGAAATTTGAAATTGAGGTCTCTGTTGGTATCTGGGATTGAGATTTGTTGGTGATTTTGCAAATGCGTACTATAATTGTTCGAAAAGCACTTTGGATCACTTATGTTGTCTAGGATGAAGAGATGAAGACTGTTTTGGATATGCATATTAAATGTGACTAAAAATATGGTATTGGGTGAAGAGATTGAACAGAAATTGTGAAATTTGATATTGAGGTCTCTTTTTATTTCTAGGGGTTATATATAAGAAAAATTGGATTGGAAAAATTCAACATCAAAATTAATTATTTGAAAGTCTTTTGGTATAAAAAGTAAACATTTTCCTATTTTCTTTTCCGAAAAAGAAAAAACTTAAATAATACATGAAACCTTGAAAATCTGAAAATGTAGTACGATGTTTAAAGTTTTGATGAAAAAAAAAATGTTGTCAAACTAAACAAATTGTACATTTTGAGTACTTAAAAGGTCTAACACGTATTGTTAGAGCGAATCTTAAAAAGGTAGACTTTTCGCTGGCAAAGTAGCGATGAATAGAATAGCTTTAATTTCAAAAATAACTTTTTTATACTTAATCTAACTCTTAAACTAATTACCTTTTTTTATTTTCCAGATACAAAAAGAATCTGAAAGCCTTCTATATTGTACATCCCACATTCTGGACAAAGGTATGGATATTTGTTTCAATCATTTAGAAATAAACTCTTTAACCCCATTTTTATTTTTTAATTAGATGATGACCTGGTGGTTCACCACATTCATGGCACCAGCCATTAAAGCCAAAGTACACTCCCTACCAGGCGTTGAACATCTGTATTCCGCAATAACTAAAGATCAATTAGAAATTCCCGCTTATATCACAGAATACGATATGGCCACAAATGGCATACACTATTTTACACCGCAAACACAGACGACCACGTCATAGACTACAATTATCAGACCAGAGGCTGTATAAATAGCAACCCCAAATAAAAACGAAAACTAACAACAACAACAACAAAACTTAACAACTTAACAAGTAATCCTTCCACAAATATTAGAAAGAAAAGAAAATAAAATACAAAGAAGCCTTTTTCCGTCAACCTTGTGGTCCTTTTTGAGAAGAAAGTCCTTGTGCCCAAGCCAACAACCGAAAGAAGAACCCTACACAACAGAAACACTGAAAAAAAAAAACACAGCCAAGTCCTCCTCATACTCTTATCCAAATATTACTGGTGTGCGAGAACATCATTATGTCAGTCAAAAAAAAAAAAGTTGTAAAAGAAGAAGAACAACAACCGCAGTCTCTGTCTATAGAAAGTGTTATGCAATAAGAAACAAAAAGAAGAAGAAGAAGAAGAAGAAGAAAAAAATATACTGTAAACCCACAATCTCCCATTCCCTCCCCCCATTTTACCGACCCATGCTAATGATGAAGATTGAAGTAAGATATACCTACCTATTATACACAACAACAACATAAACAATAATAACAACACCAGCAACATATTATATACAAATAAAAACATACATACTTACAAGCCGTTACATACCAACTATATATATATATACAACAAAAAATACATTGAAAAGCTGAAGCAAAACTAACTGGCCACCACATTTCAAATATTCAAATCGGAATGTTGCTGGCAAAGAAAACCAAAAGTTGCGAGAGAAAGAAAAAGGAAGCAGACAAACAGGAAAATGCCGACAACAATCCTCAACTAAAACTAAACATTTAAATTTTAGCATTACCCAAACTATAAACATTAACACACACAAACACACACACACACACACATACATGCATATACACAAATATATATATATTGTAAAGTAGAGTTTGGGACGGACGTTATTATATATAATAAAAACAAAAACCAAGAAAACAAAAAATAGAAAGTTGAACAAAACTTGAAAAGAAAACCAAATGTTGAACTAAAAATGATGTACCTTTATATGAAAAATAAAAAAAAACAACAACAACCATTTAGAAACAAAACTCCACATTATTATTATTATTATTATATTATATTATTATATATTGTTATAAATCATACAAAACAAAAACCTTATAAAACAAAACACATTTAACATTTTCAAAAGAAAAGAAAACAAAAAAACCAACGCTAATATTTAATTTAGAAACGTTAGTTATTAAAAAAAAATAATAAAACAAATAACTTTTTTTGATGATAATGTAACGAAAAGCAAAGAACTAAGTGAAAATCATCAAATAAATTAAATGAAACAAAAAAAACAAATTGTTGTAGTCCTTAATAAAAGAAACCGAAAAGAAAAAGAAACAAAACATTAAAAAAACTAAACCAAAAAAAAAGTATAATTCTTGATTTTTTATTTATTTTCTTTTATTTTGAGTTTGCTCAATAGGTTTGAATATTTTTTTTTCGAAATTTCAATATCTTTGATTTAAGTACAATTACACAATTTCCAGACAAAAACACGATTACATTTGTTGCATTTCTATACCCTCCACAATAGTATGGAGGGTATATTAAGTTTATTATTCCGTTTGTAACACCTCGAAATATACATTTTACACCCCACAAAGTATATATATATATTCTTTATCAGCATAAAATTCTATGTCGATTTAGCGATGTCCGTCCGTCTGTCCCTCTGTGGAAATAACACTAGCTTTCAAACGAAATGAAGTAGATTGATTGAATTTTACTCAAATGTATATATTTTATCTGCAGGACTTTTGGTATTGAAAATAGGCCATGTAGGTCAACGTTTTGGTATAGCCCCCATATAACGGTATCTCCCGATATTCGGTATTTTTATGATTTTAGCGACATTATTCACCGGAGTTGTTTCAAACTTGTTATTGGAAGTTCAGAATGAATACTACAGCCTAAAACAGAAAATTCTCTGTGTAGATCCACGTCTTCCCACATATAACGGTAACTCCCGATACTATTCATACTATTCACTTCACTACTATTCACCGGAATTGTTTCAAATTTGGTATTTCATGTTCGTAATGGATACTACAGCCTATGACAGGAGATTGTCTGTGTAGGGTTACGTCTTTGTATAGCCCCCATATAACGGTACCGCCCGATATTCGGTATTTGGATGATTTTAGCGACATTATTCACCGGAATTGTTTAATATTTAGTATTTGAAGCTCGTAATGGATACTACAGCCTAAGAAAGAAAATTGTGTATGCAGGTCCACGCCTTTGTATAGCCCCCATATAACGTCACCTCCCGATATTATTTTTACGATTTTAAAAGAATTTTTAACGGATTTTATTGTTTTTAAGAATTGCCAAGTTCGTTCCAAATGGTTCATTCCAAATTGTTCATATTATGTACTACAAAAATTTACAAAATCTACAACGGTTATTAGGTTATTCAGATGGATTTTCCATAAAAACGTCACTTTCTTTTCCAAATGAAACTGACGTACTTTACTAAAGTCTCTTCGGAATTTTCAAATTTCCTAACCTGACATTTATTGGCATTGATTATCGAAGGAAGAAACAGAAAATTTAAATTAAAGTGGCAAGGATATTACAAAACAGAAATGGCAAGAGCAGCGGCCAAACCGACAAAATATTCAAGTAAAATAGGCTAAATATTTATCATGTCGGCAGGAACTAGGTCCCCACTCTGGCTACATTGGTATTACACCGTTTATTAGCGGTCATACAATTAAATCAAATGATGCCTAGATTCTAGATTGAGGATTTATACCGAAGAAAAAGTTTATAATGTTAGAGTCGTGTGTAAATCAATATTTCCTTACAGCATAGCATACTTTTTGGCGCTTTCAACAATTTTTAACTAGAAAAAGAAACTACGATATAAAAAAGAAACTACAATAAAAACTATATGATATACTTAAGCTGTAGATATATTCATTCGAACTACAGTTCAGAATTTTTTTTAATTTTGAAAATTTTTGTATTCGCCTAAAAGTATGCTGTGAAAATGCTTAAATAAAATAATGACTGTAACATGATGTATAACCAGACTTAGGGGAATTCTGTGCCCTTTATAAAACCTCTATTTTACTCTGGTATAATTTCGGTTTGGCTTTTAGACCCTCAGAAGTATCACTATAGAAGGGGCACATATCATTTCAAATTTTAAAAATGCCTTTCTTGCAGGCACGCTAATTTTCGATAGAAGTATTCAATTTGGTCTTGACTTTGCACAAGGTAATATTTTTGTCAGACTTTAATCAAGTTCGAGAATTGTTATATGGTGATATTTTTAACAGGTCTGGGTTAGGTTCTAGTACCTCCCCCCAAAAGGGTGGAAATTTTGAATAAACATAACTCTTATAAACTGTGGACTGACTCACCGATATCCTTCAAACTCTGGTACCTCTCAATACGTATTTTCTGTAGATGTTTTCGTAAACCAAGGTGATGTAAAGAAACGTCTCATAATCTGCGAATATTTTCTTATTCTTATCCGTTTTTTACTAAGTTTATATTTATTTCGAGTAGTTGTTAAGTTGTTAAGTAGTTCGGGGTTAAGTCCTAATAATTCCCAAACTTCTTTATTTTACACAGGCCGAATTACACATTGTGTTAGAGTCATATGTTAAGTGAATTTTTCATATTTTACGTTTTCATAGCATACTTTGAGGAGCATACTTTGAGGAGGAGGAGGCGTCTAAAAGTTTACTATAAAAATCCTATAGATAATTGTGTGGAAAAGTCAGTACATATGGCTCCAACATCAAGTGTAATCTAGTCTTTAGCATACATACTTATTGTATTTACTCAAAACGTTTACAAGTCGCGATTTAATACTGAACTGACTGACTGGTTTCCTACACACTCGTATTTATAGTTCATCGTCTATATATGGAAGTGTAGAGAAATTCGCAATCCGAGTCCATTTAAATCCATTCGTCAATGATCATACACTCACATACAAACAAACCAATACATGTAAACAGCAAAGGAGACAGTAATTATAAATACGAGTGAGCGTTTGTTTCTTTCATATCGGATCGGAGCAATTTTCAACTCATTATATTTTGGGAAAGGGGTTAAAATCGACAATTTATGAATATAGAATGCAAATATGAAAATGTGAAAGTATAATATTTTCGGATTAGAATTTGAATGAAGCGGATCACCACCACTTTTTTGGGACGTAAAAATTAAAACCCATAACATTTTTGGACAAAATAACAAATTTCAAATGTTAATAAACAAGCACAGCGAAGGGGGCTTGGAATAACAATATCGATTCTTTTTTTATTGTTCAAAATCGACATATCTTAAGAATTTTCCGAGTTTTTTTTTACAAATATCACAGATAAATCAACTCCAATCAAATACAAGAGTAATGTCTGGAACTTGTGCGATCCTCAAAAACTAGTTTCTTAATTGTCTTCAGTTTCTAAAATTTTATAAAAATAGTTTTTTCTTCTTTTAATTTTTTGTTAAATAAAAAAATCAAATTAAATTCTTATGAATGAACAACAAAAAAAAAATAAATAAAATTATGTTCGAAATTAAATCTAAATCTGTAGACCGACCTTAATTTAGAAATCTCCCATAAAGTAAGGAAACAATACTAATAGTGCGTTTACATTAAATCACGTTTATCTGATTTAAACGTGATTATTGACCAATCGCAATACATTTAAATCATAATTTCCATGGCCAAATTTATTGCGATTGGCCAATAATTAGGGGTTGAGTCGGATACAGATTTTGTATGTAAACGTACATTAAGGTCCTGTTTCGGTGTGTCGATAGACATATAAATGCGAGGGGAAAAGCATTTCGAATATTTTTCAAAATGTTTGGTTTTATTTAAACAATCTTCCTCGACAATTTTCCTATCGGCTCTCCGAACCAGATCATATATTGTGAAAACAACATTTTAGTATTAATTTAGTAAACGTTATAAATTTAGTAAGTAAAGTAAAAAAATATGATGAGAAAAATGAACTAAAATAAAAATTTGTTGTTATTACGTAAATAAAAAAAAAAAAATATAATTAAATTATAAAAAAAGATCCCCAAATTGTTACAAAGTATTTAATTCCAAATTTCTAAAACAAAAACCAAAACCAAAAAAAAAAAACTAATAACAAAATCGAAACAAGCATTTCCCTTTAATATTTAATAAAACTAAAAAACTAACTAATGCCATAAAAATAAAAAAAAGAAATAAACCAAATCACATTTATTTCTAATTGTAAATTTTCTCTTCAAATCATTTTCCTAACCAAAAATAAAAACCAACAACTAAACTTCTTTATACTCTAAAAGCTAATAACTTAAAAAAAAGATAAACAAAAATTGTTATTAATATTTATAATTTAATATTCACCAAAGAAATTCGTTTAACAGGCCTAAAATATTCTAAATTAATGCCATATTTTGTTATTGAAAACTAATAAATCCCAACCAAAAATTGGTTATTAAAAACAAAATTAAAACATTGATTATTTATTTTTTTAATTTGGTTTTAACAACACACGCATTTTAAATGTGTAACGAAAGCTACAAACGCCAGAGGTAAAAGTTAGGTTAAATTAAACTAATCAGATGATGAAATAAATCTGTTTTGCCGACAGTTTTATTGCCTTGCCTGAGTTATGATTATTCAAACTGTTGACAATTTATGGGGGAGGTTCCGAAGCAGTTGGCCAATAATGCCCATTTCGTATCTGACTTAAAACTGATATAAATATTACAACGCGCCAGATTTGGACTATATCGACTACTTCCTTTATATGAGATATGTGCAAATTTTTGGAAAAAGTAGAAAGATGCGTGAGGTAACAGATAACAGCGGACCGAAGTATTCCATTTTCATACTTTATCTAATACAGAAAAAATATTAGAATGTGCAAAATTTGAAGGAAATCGAACATTTTATGCGAAATCATAAATTTCGATAAATTACATATTCATATCAGATTTCTGGTTATATGAAAACTTTAGATATAGCAAGTTGTAAGGAATCGCCGACTTGTTTCGCTACTTATGACAGATAAAAGTATTTAAAATTGTGACTCTTTGTGGATTAGGGACCAAAAGGGGTTTGCAGATAAATATAATCTTCACAATCTTCAGATCCTGCGTTAGAAAAATTCGAAGAGAGTTGGATGCTTATTTCGCTTTCTTTGAGCGTTTACTTTCTCAAAATCTTGAACCCTATGTGGGCAAGGTACTTGAAGGAGTGATCCGATCTCTACCATCTTTATAACATATCTTGTTTTGATGGAAATATTGAGATGTGCCAAGTCTGAATGGAATCGGATGTTTATTTCATGTATTATGGATTTAATGAATATTCAAAATTTTGACCCTATATGGGGAAGTACCAGAAGTGAAGTGGGCCGATATATGCCATCATCACACTAGACTTTGGGTTAATAAAAATATTATAATTTGTGTAATTTGAAGAGAACCGGATGCTTATTTCGGATTTCATTCTCGTTTTGGTTATTCAAATCTATGTCCCTTTGTGGAGGATCTCTACCATCATTTTTACAGATCTTGTATTGATAGAAATATTGAGATGTGCTAAGTCTAATAGTTTTATGAGCTTCATGAATATTCAAAATTTTGACCCTTTGTGGGGAAGGTACCAGAAGGAGTGAACCGATATGTTCCATCTTCACACCAGACCTTGGGTTAATATAAATATTGTGATATATGTAATTTGAATGACAATCGAACACTTACATCACATTTTATAAGAATTATAATTATTCAACATTTTGACTCTTTATGGGGGATATACTGCATGGAGTGGACCGATATTGTCCATTTTGGCACCTGACCTATCACTGATGTAAATATTAGGATTTGCAAAGTTGGAGCAAAATCGGATTATCCATTCTCTTTCTGTGCAGTAAATTATGTTCTTTGAAAGTGTTGACATTTTGTGGGGGAGGTACCACAAGGAGTGGACCGATATTGCCCATCTCCGAACTCGATCTAAGTTTGACAAAAATATTACGATGTACAAAGTTTGGGTCAAATCGGATACTCCCTTCGAGAGTAATCGTGCGTACCAGCAAGACAGACAGACAAACAGACGAACGGACATCGCTAGATCGACTCCAAATGTACCGAAACGAAATCTGGTCCAAAGAGACCTAGGGTCTAAAACCATTATTTTAGATGAGGCACGTTTTGGCCGTATCAAATGATATATATCCTATCTAGTCATATGGCTGAGGGTATAATTAAGTTAATTTGGTATATCAGGTTCCCAGAGGTCTCCTTGTTACGCTCCTTGAATAATATTGCCAATAAAGGCCCACACTGTTTGAAGTAGCCCCCAGATTTGGGTACCTCCTGATTATAGGCATTTCATATGTAATTTCCACTATTTCCAGTCGGATTTACTATATTTTGGCAATTTGGGTTTTTTGTTGGAGGAATGCCTTACAATAAAATGAATATTGGCCCATTGTTTCAATAAATCTGTCATAAGCTTCGAATAGCTACAACTATCAATTTATGGGTCACATTTTGAGGCGAAGTGGTTGTTAAGTAGTGATATTTTGAAGACATTTTTACAACAATTTGAAGGGTGTTTTTTTCTGACAAAAATGGGGCATGACAAAACTTAACGCCATCTTTATTTGTTCTTTTAAGGGGCAGTGATTGCGATATTTCTAGTTTTTGAACAATGTTATACAATGTTTTGAAATAGTCTCCAGATATTGATATACCGAAAGTTTTCACAATATTCTTCAATGAAATTGGTTATAATTTTGGATATGTCTTCCTATTGGATAGTTTTACTTCATACGTACACGTTTTGATCATTTATTTATTTATTTATTTTTTGTTTTTTTTTTTTTCAAATTCAAGAAAGGATGCTAATTGCAACTCTTGGTGCATATATGTGCTAAGCACACTTTTAGGCACAATTATTATCGGACTACAATATTTAAGGCTAGTTTACACATCTTCATTTTGTATAAACTATTTTTCTTGCCTAGGGTTGAAGAAATGTATTTGGAGTCGCCACAAGTCAGAGACATTTCAATTGCTCCATCAGTAATTTCCCGGTCATGTTATTTCGCGTTTTGGAGTCCAGAATTGGCCATCTCGATCGTAATGTAGTGGTCCATCGTTTTGAAAAATCGGTATATGGGCTAGTATACAAAACTACCCTTAAGGCCCGATTACACAGGATGATGTTAAAACCATATATTTTTTTAAAATTAAAAGTTACGCTTAATTATGTAAACTACATACTATAAAAACAATAGAATTTTAATTATACTATACTTTTAGTACATTTAAATTAATTTATACCATAAATAATTCAGATATAGTCTAAATGCATGATATAAAAATGCAAAATATATCTATCCAGATAATGCCGCTTTGCATATGACTTTAACATAATGTGTAATGTGGCCTTATTTAAATCACGGTTTTTTGTAGCCACTTAGTCTGCTTTCTACCTCTGGTGTTCGTAGCTAATTACCAAATAATTTGTACCCTAAAAGAAATCATTCAAATAATTGCACAAACTACTACTCTTTCTAAATAATAATTGGAAATCTTCCTATAAATATTTAATCTCACTCACAAATAAAAAACGTAAAGCACCAGTTTTATAAAAATGAAAAACAAAATGCTAAAGAAACCAAAATTGATAATAATTATAAATGCCTAAATTTTGAAATAAACCAAATATTGACTGCTATAAATGCACCCTCTAAAGCCTGATAGAAATTAATAACAACAAGAAATAGTAATGTACAAAACTGAATTTTTGGCCACATAATAACCACAAAAGAAAAACAAAAGTTAGATCTCATATTGAAAATGTGTAGGCAGTGAAAAACACTTCTTTAATATTAAAGAACTTTTTTTGTAAACTTTATCGAACATAAAAGCTATAATTATGCTTTATAGATAATTTTCATTAATCTGTCTTTTTTTGACCCAATTTTTATTTAAACACTATGTATTTATGCATTCGTCCGGTGAGAGAATTTATTGAAGCTTTTTTACCTTGCCAAAGGTTGGAAGAGGTTAAGGTTTGACTTTTTTAGAATTTGGAGACAATAACGCCACCTTAAAATTCTTTACTTCCCAGACCATTTTCTATGTCCTACATACGGGGATTCTACTGACTATAAATTTCCACATAGCTTTAGGGGATATTCTCCTATTATAAACCTGTAGACAGTAAATAGCGATCTACGAGATATAGAGTCCCTATAATGTCCATAAAATTCCTTAAAGATTTTTATTGTCCTTAAAACTTTCTATTGCCTACAGAAGTCGAACTAGCAAATATGTTTAAAAATCTCATTTAAGGCGGAAAAGGTCTTGAAATAATGTATTTATAAAAAAAATCTTCGTTTGAAAAATATATTTAAAAACAAATATTTTTACAAAATTCACATATTTGGTTTTGAAATCATTTAAAAAAATAATTTTAAAAACCACGATTATAGCTCTGAAAGATCTTTAAAAATATATTTAAAAATTCCTGCAATCATGACTTTTTTCTGAGAGCTTTTGAAAATATATTTCCAACATATTGACCAACAGCGGCTCCAAAATGTCTTGAAATATAATTAAAAAAAATACACTATTGTAAAAAAATATTCATAATCCTTGCAAGGATATTTGAAAGTCCTTAAAAAATATTAAAAAAAAACTAAAATAAACTAAACTAAATTACGTGTTGGACAGCCCGATGGTAAAATTAAGAAGATAAAGACATTTCAAATAAGCATATCCATCTCTGCATTTTCTGTAATTTACCTTGTCAATATATAAATAAGCATATCCATCTCTGCATTTTCTGTAATTTACCTTGTCAAATTTTACTGCATAGGAAACAGATCCCCATCTCTGATTTGTGTATATGCAATTTGACAATGAGATGTAGTCAAATGAATAATTAAAAAAAATCAAAATATTAATGCATGACTTTACTTTTATAATTCTAACATGGACATCTCTTAAAAAGTATTTTTAGAAAGTCTACGATCGCCTTTAGGAATCCAAGAATGCAGCTCTCAAAGTCCTTAGAATAATATTTAAAAAAAAATCAACTTTTTCTGCTTGGATGTCCCTAAAAAAATCCAGGTTTATGGAATGGATGGTCCTTGAAAAAATATTTATCAGAAATCTACGTTGTAAAAAATTGACATATACGACTTGGATTGCCTTTTGAAAAAATAAAAATTAAAAAAAAAAAACAAAATAAAAGTTTCCCGCTTGGGTGGTTCATAAAAAAATTAAAAAAATATGTTAGATGGTAATTAAATAATAACTGTAAACAATTCTCGTTTGTGACTCTGAAAGTCCTTGAAAATTTTTTTTGCAAAATCCACGATTCTGACTCTGAATGTCCTTAGAAAGATATTTTGGAACAGTCAATCATTTGACGCTAAAAGTCTTTGAAAGAAAATCTTTGTTTGTGGCTCAGGAAGTCTTTTTTAAGGACTCAAAAAGTCCTTAAAAATATTTAAAAAAAAATCCCGGAGTCCTTTAAAAATATTTTGAAAAAATCCACGATTCGGACTCTGAGAGTCCTTTAAAAATATTTTGAAAAAATCCACGATTCGGGTTCTGAAAGTCCTGGAAAAATATTTTGAAAAAATTATTATTTTATTTAAAATATTCATTAAAAATATTTTTAAAAAATGCACAATTCTGGCTTTCATTGAAAAATATTTTTTTATTTAATCCAGATTATGGCTTTTATAGCCCAAAAATATACTTTAAAAAAGGGATTATTGTATTCAGAACGTCTTAAAAAGGCCTTGAAAGGTATTTTGTTCTAAGAGTCTTTTAAAAACAAATATTTTGAAAAAAAAATCCACAATTTGGGCTCTGAAAGTCCTGGAAACAATGTTTTTAAAAAAAATCTATGACTGTGAGTCTGAAAGTTCTTGAATATTTTTAAATTCTATGACTCTTATTGTCCTTAAAAATATTTTTAAGAAATGCACGATTCAGGCTATGAAGGTCCTTGAAATAATATATTTTTCTTTTAAATCCAGATTATAGCTTTAATATTTTAAAAAAAAAGTTTTCAAAAAGCCACGTTTGAGGCTTCGATGTTTCTTTAAAATATGTTTTTAAACAATTTTAAAAATCCTTTCAAAAATTAGTTAAAAATCTGCGATTGCGGTTCTGAAAATCGTTAAAAGATATTTTAAAAAGTCCATGACTGCAACTCTTAAAATTATTAAAAAAAAAATTGTTAAGAAAAAAATTATTAATAAAAAATTGTGAAAATATTTTTATAAAATTCACGATTGTGACCTCGGATATCCTTTAAACAAAAAAAAACTATAAAATAAATTTTTGGCCATGAAAATCCTAGAAATTTTTTGTATTATTTTTTATATTCCTCTAAAAAAATTTTAATTTATGAATTGGGTTAATAGTAAAAAAATATTTAATGTTGATTTTTACTACAACAACACAAATACCGGACGAAATTAGATAAATACATAGCGTTTGCATTCAAATTTTAATAATTTCTCCAAAAACGCCTCGAAAACAAAACTTAAAAAGTATTAATTATTTTAGCACTCAGGGATTCATTTCAATAGCAGCAAAAACATCAACAACAACAATATGATTCCTGTACGTAATATATATATACATACAAACTTATATACATACATACATGCCTATGTGTATATCCCTCGAAAACAAAGATCCTCAGATGATGTTAATTAATGCCTAAAATAGCAAAAGTATTCATGACGAGTTTTATTCAAATCACAGGGTCCCCACCAAGAATTACAAATTCTTGGGCCAAAACAAACAATCGATGTATTTTACTCATTTATACAAATAGCAGTAACACAAATGATATATAAAAACATACTGACAGACAGCCAGATATATAATTGTTGTACAATATTACCATGGATTAGATTTTGGGTTGCTGAAAAAAAAAAACACAAAATGAGTTAAAATAATTATAATTAAAAAGAAAAATTCAATTAGTAATGCATTTTTGATAGAAGTCAATGGAAATTTTTTAGGTAAAGAGTACAATTTCGAAATTCGAAACTTGTTAAAATTAAAAGCCTATCGAGTTATACAATTTCAAAAAAATAAAGTAGTAATTGGACCCAAGCATTAATGTTTAACCCTTTACTTAAAAGAGTCCTTTGGCCAAAGAAATTTTTCACAAAACAACAAAGAAAGACAGCCCATGTTTTTTGGATGAACAAAATTAGCTCACCGTAAATTGTCAAACGAAACCAACAAACTAACCAGGAATAATTTACAATTATTTCCAAAAACCAAAAACAAAAAAACTTAAATTTTTGTAGCATGTATATTTATATAGCGTAGAACAGAATTAAAAAAAAATGTGTTTCGTTTTACCTGTTTTTTTTTTTTAATTTTCATTTTATACCAAATGTTAAAATTGTCAAAACAACACACGACACAATGTAAAACCAAACAATGAAATCTATATTCCAACAAAAGCCATTACTAGAGTTTAATTTTCAATGAAAATTATTAATAACTGTTGCTCCCCTTTTTGTATATAAAAACAACAACAGCAAAAGAAAAAGAAATTGTGAAAAAAACGTTATTACCTATTATATAAGTTCAAAATCACATAAAATCCTCTATATAAGGAAATCATTTTTTGAAAATGAAAAAAAAAACATAACAAAAAAATCCCCAATCATAAAATGCTTGCGTTAAATAAAAAAATAAATGAAAAAATTAAAATCAAATGTGAAGTTTTGATTACGGTTTATGTGGGAAATGTTTTGGGTATTTTGTTCTACTGGAACCTTATGGCGGAGATTTACATGAATTAAAAACAAAAACGAATATGGTTTGCTTCGTTGAGGCCTAAATTCTTTTTTAATTGAAAATGTGAATAAGAAGACCAGTGAATTCCAAAGAAAAGCACCCATGTCATATGAGTTTTTCATATTAAATAAAACTTTAAAATTTATAAAAAAACATGCATGTTTTTCTTTTGAATCCACATTCGAATTATTATAAATGATTCAATATTCTTTTATAATGAAAATGGTTGCAAATTTAAAGTTTGTGTAAATATTTTCATTTCGTATAATGAAAATAGCTTTTTTTTAGTTAAGCTGCCGTAATTGATATTACCTAAAAGTATGCAGCATTTATCAATATTTCAGAAATGTTATTTAATGAAACTGGGTGCCTCGTACAAAAGCTAAAGCAAAATGTAAAAATTTTTGGAATAAGGTCCGTAAAAAATATTTTCATTTTTATACCCTCCACCATACTATGGAGGGTATATTAACATTGTCATTCCGTTTGTAACTCCTCGAAATATCCATGTCAGACCCAACAATGTATATACATCCTTGATCAGCGTAAAATTCAAAGTCGATTTAGCGATGTCTGTCTATCCGTAAGTCCGTTGTAATCAGGTTATCTTTCGAACGAATTGAGATAGAATTTTGCACACACACAACGGTACCTCCGGATATTCGGTTTTTTGATGATTTGGACGTCATTATTCACTGGAAGTGTTTCAAATTTGGCATTTGAAGTTCAAAATAGATACTACCGCCAAAGACAGAAAATTTTCTGTGCAGGTCCACGTCTTCGTATAGACCCCATATAACGGTACCTCCCAATATTCGGTATTTTGATGATTTTAGCGTTATTATTGGGAATAATGGGAACTTCAGTCTGTGACAAAAAATTGCAGGTCCAGGTCTTCGTATAGGCCCCATATATCAGTACCTTTCGATATTCGGTACTTTGTTGATTTTAGCGACACTATTCACCGAATTTTTTTGAGATGTCGTATTTGAAGTTCGTAATGGATGCTACAGCCTGTGACATAAAATTTTCTATGCAGGTCCAGGTCTTCGATATTTTGATGATTTTACCTACATTTCTTTATTTCAAGTTTCAAATTTGAATATAGCAATGGCTTATGGCAAAAAAAGCTTATGTAGGTTCACGTTGTAGAGACCCCAATATAACGGCTATATTCAGTATTTTTAAGATTTTAACAGAAGTTTTAACGGATTTTATTTTTTGAAAATTTCCAAATTCGTTCCAAATGCTGGCGGATATTCAAAGTTCGGCCAGGCCGAACATACTGTTTTTTAGCTTGTTAAAAGTTCACATTTCACCTTGGATAATCTCTGAAAAATTACTAAAAATACTTTTTCAGCTTGGCTGGTCCTGTAAAAACATTTTTAATATTCCACGTTCATAATTTGATCCTTAACAAGTAAAAAAAGTATCGGTCGGTTTTGCCGACAGATGTATACCCTCAGCCAATGTTCGATTATTTAAAAATATTTTGACTTCTGTTATGAATTTTCAAACTCTTGACCCTCTATGAAGTGGGTTTTTTTCTAGATTTCAGATCGGACCTAAAGAAATATGATATAAATATTATTATGAATATATAAGAAAATCGAACATTTATATCAAATTTTTGGGAAATCTTAAATTCAATATTCATCTCAGGATTGTTGTTGAGAGACATATATTTAGATATTGCAATTTGTAAAGAATCTCTGAGTTGTTTCCAAATTTATGACAGTTAAAAGTATTGAAAACTGTGTCCCTTTGTGGATGAGGTACCAGAAGGGGTTTGCAGATATATAGCATCTTCAGAACAGATCTTGCGTTGGCAAAAATTTTTGTATGTGAAATTTGAAGAGAGTTGGATTCTTATTTCGCTTTCTTTGAGAGTTTTGTTTTTGTGAACCAGGTAGCAAAATATAATAATAATCTTTATAATATATCTTGTATTGATGGAAACATTTTGAATCTACCATGTCTGGAATGGAATTAGATGTTGATTTTGCTTTTTATGAGCTTCATGGATATTCAAAAATTTGAGTGTTTGTGAGGGAGGTTCCAGAAGAAGGGGATTGATATTGTAAATTTTCGCACCAGACCTAGCACTGACACAAATATTAGGATATGCAAACTTTGAGAAAAATCGGGTTATCGTTTTTCTTTCTGTGCAAAAAATATGTATTTAATATTTGTCGAATGGAATATTGCGATATGTTCAGCTCACGAGCCATTTTCGACCACTACGACGCGGGTTTCGATCAAGTCGCTCCTTTACTTTTCAAACCATTTCTGCTGATGTTGCTGTTTTCTTCCGTCCACTTCCTTGATGTCGGACTACCAGTATCACGGTAACGAGCGATAGTACGAGACACAAAAGATTTATTCACATTTAAATGCTGGAGTGCTCTAACGATAGCCACTTGAGGGTTTCCAACCAAATACAAAAAAATTACACCATCACGCTTGAATTCCATCACAAATAACTTTTTTTCTGGAAAATTCTCAGCAAAATGCTTTTGTACGCTTGTAAACAGTATAATGAGCTGTCACTGGAATAATTTTAACAGCTGTCGGACGAGTGGCTTAAAAATGAAGTTGGTTGCAGTTTTTTCATCTCACCCTGTATATTCCTGATCAGCGCAAAATTCTAAGACGATTTAGCCCAGTCCTTCCGTCCGTCTTTTGTAATCACGCTAAAGTCAAAACGAATTAAGATCAGTCTTTTGCGTGTGCAGGCAAGTCAAGTTCGAAGATGGCCTATATCGGTCCACGATATCGTATGGCCCCCCATATAACAGATATTGGTATTTCATGACTTTAGGCACATTTTTCAATGGAATTTTCTCAATATCCTCACAATGAGTTCCATCTGGGAAGTTTGCCGATTTTTCTGAAAATATTCAATATCTATTCTTAATAACTTTATTTTGGCTTAAGGTCAACTGAAAAACATCAGTGTTTTGTTTTTATAATTTTGTTTTTTATTTTCCGATGTTTTTTCAATTGACTTTAAGCCAAAATAAAGTTATTAAGAATTAATACAAAACAGGTCAACAATAAAAAAACAACATTATTTAATATCATTCAAAATGGTGGAGGGTATTAAAAGTTTTTTTTCTCTAACTAACTTGGATTTTTATCTTCATAACTGAAATGTTAAAAAACGCTCCACTTGTAAAATGCAGCTCTGATTCAAGACATTTGGTCTTGTTTAAACGCCAGGTTAGTTGTTGATGTTGGTTTGTCACATGATAGAATAATATAGGTAGACGCGTCGACACAGCTGCTAGGACAATGAACTGTCAAACCACTTTTGGAATTGAAAATGTTGAATGATACATTATTTAAATTTGTATAATTGTTGAAAAACGCGAATTATAATAACCTCCAAATAACGTCGTATAAGAAAACATATAAAAATCTACTTATATTTGAAAAAACGTTTAAATTTTTTTGACATATCAATGCTCCCAAGCGTTGATGCATCTACCTGTATTCTTCTGCCATGGTTTGTCATTAATGATTTTGCCATTGAGAATAATATAGGTAGATGCATCAACGGAACATTGATAAGTCAAACATTTTTAAAAGTTTTTTTTTTCAAAAATAAGTAGATTTTTATGTGTTTTCTTATACCACGCCAATCGCAGTCTGTTACGATATACATTTTCCAACAATTTAAAAAAAAATGGAATAATTTTTCATTTCAAAATGTCCCAGCAGCTGTGTCGATGCTATTACCTGTACCATACGTACAACGGCAGGTTATTTACGTTTTAGGAACATTTTTTTTTATTAAAATAACAATTTTATTTACAACTTCTGACTTAAACTTTATAAAACACTTTTAAAAAAATTAACAATAAAACAAAACAAACTTATATGTGACATAAAAAAATAAATAATTTCTGTAACAAATTAAATATCCAACTTATCGAATAACCAATTTGGTATTCTCGGCATCTTTGATGTATTTATGTTTGTATTTTTCAAACATTTCATTCAGGCTATCGATAACTTTTTGATGGATTTCATTGACATACTGCGTGTCGGGTTCATCCATTTGTTTGACAGGAATGGGTGCACCCACAACTTGGACAATGTGGCGGCGATAGGGCAACAGACCAAAGGTGTATTGGAAGAAACCACGACCCAAAACGATTAGTGGGGAGACACCGGTAAAATGTTTGACAAATGACTGGAATTTACGCAACATAGAATCTGGTGGATTGGCAACCTGTTCGAATATGTCAACTTCGCCGAAGGAAAACGAGGGCACAATGGGAGTTCTGTCAATAAATAAATGCACCTTATTATTGGTATTTCTGAGAAATTTTCATTTTTTTCTGACAAAACTTACCCAGAACGTATGGCAATCTTCACGAAACCTTTACGATTTTTCAACACCAAAACATAGCGTCCTGGATGTGATTCCAGCGATTCTTCAGCACCACCTACCAACAAAGCCACTGCATTTGAGGTATAGCCATCACGATTGTCAGGATGTGCAGGATCATTGGATTTGCCAAGATAATAGAGTAGAGATTGCTTCGAGCAGGATACCAAACCCCAAAGACGCAATACTTCACGCATAAACGGTATACGGAAATGCATATCCAAGGTGGCAATTTTTGGTCGAATTCCGGGATATAATTTCAACCATTTACCAATATTGTTGCCCATGTTGTTGGTAACGCCAGTTCTGAAAGAAAAAATGTAAATTTATGTGTAATTTTTAAATATTCATTCCTTGAAGCGATTTAATGTGGTAATTGGTCATTCACAATAATTAACGTATGTTTTCCTAGTCATCGTGATTGGTCAAGAGCCTCGGTTAAATAAATAAATTAAATTAAATCCTTGCCAAGGTTAATGGCATGGCAACCCTTTTCTGAAGTACTCGACCTTGTCATTTTTCAAATAAAATTTATTTTAATATCTGAAATATTCACGTATGACGAGTGGCAGATTTTACAAAAATAGTAAATAATCTATTATTTTCGGCGGTTCCAGGTAAAAATAGTTATATGTTCCATTTATAAGGAAGACGATTTTAATTAATCTTGCCTTCAACATAAACATATAAAAATCGAGATTTTAAACCCTTCATCGTAAGGAAACATTCTCGGTGCAGTCAGGCTGGGAATACATAAAGCGCTTATTTGACTGGCTTCTTCTGAAAAGAACAAAGGAGCCTAGGGCCAAAATTGAACTAAGTCAACCTAAAACTCCTTTGTTCATCTACGAAGAAGCCAGCCGATGACTTAAGCCAGCCAAATATGCGCTTTATGTGTTTCCACCCTTAGTTCTTATGTAGGCCAATTCGACTGAAAATTCTTCCTTGACAAGAATGGTATAAAATTATAAATAAATTATAAAGGCAAAACTCAAAAATTCAGCCGAGCCTGGCTGTGGGATTTGAACCGCGGACCTCTGTGTGCAGCCAACTAGAAGTTGCCGTCTCTACGTTCAGAGCCATTAACCCGTCTTCCTAAAGCAGCACTAAAACAAGTGTATGCATTGGAAGCAATGTAGTTGTTGTGGACAAAAAATCCATCACTACAAAAAACAAAACGTTGCTGTGAAAAAAGATCTGCCAATAGAACTTGAGTCGAACCTGGAGAGTTTCTAGTGTATAATTCGCATATGCTAATTTGCAATAAGTTCGAAATATATACTACTTTCCAGAGAACGGCCCTTGTAAACCATCATCCACATCAAATATGCCTGATGAGCCGCTTAACCAACGGCGAAACGCGTCGCATAGTGGTGAGTGTGTGATAGTGTCTATCTGGCTTTCCTTTTCACTGCAAATTTCAGATCATTAAGCTCGTCTCGAAAGAGAAAACAAACACTTAAATTATAAAATATTTTGTCGCAAAATAACCTGAATTTCATGCCAGCTATACGCTCATATTTAAGGAAGAACCACCCTCCAAGAATGGTTAAAAATTATAAAATATTTTGTCGCAAAATAACCTGAATTTCATGCCAGCTATACGCTCATATTTAAGGAAGAACCACCCTCCACCATATTCTGGGTGAGATAAAAAACTGCAACAAAGTCATAATTTTTACATTTTGTTTCAAAATATTTGAATGAAAACAAAAAATGTCGGAAGTAGCATCAAATTTTAGAATACGTTTAGATTTGTTCGTATTGGTCACCTTTGGCACGAATTATGGCCTTCAAATGGCCAATGAAACCGTCACACGCTGTCCGAATGTTGCTCTTCGGTATTTTGGCTCATTTCCGGCGAAGCGCTTGCTTGAGGTAATCTAGACTTTGGTGTTTTTTTAGTGCCAACCTTGCTTTCCAAAATACTTCAGACACAATAGTCCAGCGGATTGGTATCCGGAGATTTTGGTGACCATTGTGCGCTGGAAATGAAGCGAGGAATCCAAGGTCTGAGGCCAAAATTTTGCGTTCCCAAGGCATTAATACACCCTCCAGAAAATTATTATTTATTCTGATGCCACGGTCGTTTAATATGAGCGGAGAGCGACCATCGGCTGTTATAGCGGCCCACACCATCACCATGACCGGCGCTTGACTTCTGGTGGCCAACCGAAGGTGCACATTTTCAGCTGATCTCTACGGCAAGTAAAAACGATAATTTTGTTTGTTTACAAACTGCTGCACAACGAATGTTTTCTCATCAGAGAAAACCAAATTCGTCAGTTCACCACTTTCGGCCTAGCGAAGCAACTCTTTAATTCTTTTGAGTCTATTTTTTTTTGGTTGCGGTGTAAGTTTTTGCACTTTTTGGAATCTTAAGAGCTTTACCACGAGCTCAATATTTGTCGAATGGAAAATTGCGACATGTTCACGGTAATGAGCGATGGTACGAGGCACAAAAAAATTATTCACATTTAAATGCTGGAAGAGTGCTCTAACGAAAGCCACTTGTAGTTTTCCGGACAAATATAAAGAAATCACACTAACACCCTTGAATTCCATCACGAATAACTTTTTTTCTGGAAAATTCTCACAAAAATGCTTTTGTACGTTTGTAAACAATATAATGAGCTGTCACTGAAATAATTTTAACAGCTGTCGGATGAGTGGCTTAGAAATGACAGCAGTATGAAGCTGGTCTTCTCACCATGTATGTTTGTATGTGTGAAATTTGAAAAGAATTCGATGCTTATTTCGCTTCCTTTGAGTGTTTTGTTTTTTGAAAATCTTGAACCCTATGTAGGAGAGGTACTAAGAAAAATGGTCCGATTTCTACCATCTTTATAACAGATCTTCTGTTGATGAAAATTTTGAGATGTACCAAGTCTGAATGGAATTGATGTTAATTTTGCGTTTTATGAGCTTCATAGATATTCAAAATTTTGACCCATTGTGGGGGAGGCAGCAGCAGTGAACCGATATATCTCGTCTTCACAGCAGATCTAGGGTTAAAAAAATATTGTGATGTTTGTAATTTGAAGAGAACCTGATACTTATTTCGGATTTTATGATCGTTTTGGTTATTCAAAACCTTGACTCTTTGTGGAGGAGGAACCAGAAGAAATGGTCCGATCTCTATCATCTTTATTAGAGATCTTGTGTTGATGGAAATATTGAGATGTACCAAGTCTGAATGGAAATGGATGTTAATTTCGTGTTTTATGGGCTTCAAGAATATTCAAAATGCTGTCCGTTTTTGGGAGAGGTACCAGAAGGAGTGAACCGATAAATCTCATATTCCCACCAGACCTTGGGTTAATAAAAATATTGTGATATGTGTAATTTGAAGAGAACCGGTAGTTTATTTCGGATTTTATAACCGTTTTGGTCATTCAAAACTTTGAAACTATGTGGGGGAAGTGCCAGAATGAATGATCTGATCTCTACCATCTTTATAACAGATCTAGTGTCGATGGAAATATTGATATGTACCAAGTCTGAATGGAATCGGGTGTCAATTTCGTGTTTTTTGAGTATTTATGATTATTCAAAATTTTGACTTATTGTTGGGGAGGTACCAGAAGGAGTGAACCGATATATGCCATCATCACACTAGACCTTGGGTCTATAAACATTTGTTAGGGCTGTAACGTGACATTTTATAAGAGTTATAAATATTCAAAAGTATGACCCTTTGTGGGGGAGGTACTTGATGGAGTGCACATGACCTAGCACCGATGCAAACTTTAGGATTTGGAAGGTTGGTGCAAAATCGGTTTATCCTTTCTCTTTCTGTGCAAGAAAAAAAGTATTTTTTTTTTTTGTTTCTTTTTTTAATTCGAATTTTTGTGGGAAGGTACTAGAGAGAGTGGATTGAGATTGCCCATCTGTATGTTTGATAATAATATAACGTTGTACCAAACATGAGCCAAATCGGGTACTCCCTTCGAGAGTTATCGTGCGCACCAGCCAGCCAAACAGACAGACGGACGCACGGGTGGACATCGCTAGATCGACTCCAAATGTCCTAAAACGGATGTGGCCCAAAGAGATTTAGGGTCTAAAATTGTATTTGGATGAGGTACGTTTTGGCCGCATCAAATGATATATACCCTCTGTAATCATATGACAGAAGCTATAAAAACAAATATTAAATTTATTGTGAATATGGGAACATGTGTTAAGTTTATTGTGTTTGGCTAATTGTCAGGGTTAATCTCTTCCAAAAAAAGATGTACTTTATTAATGCGTTTACATATGAAATTTTCGAAACGATTAAACTTGATAATTGTGGAATGACAATCAATTTAACATAAGTTTTCCTTTGTCAAATATATGTCAATTTTCACAGTTAAACTGAATAAAATTTTTTATGTAAAAGTACAATAACCCGGATAAACATCTGTTGTGGATTTAAATTGCCAATTTCGTATGAATTTCAAATAAATTCTCATAATGGCAATTAAATAGCCAATTAACTCTCAGGTAAACATGTTATAATACTTCATTTTTGTTTTCGCCACAATCAAATACTTTGTACATAGAAATTTATAGAAACAGCAAGAAATCTTCTTGCCATGGGGTTCTGATTGCTGTTTTCTAACAAATATCTCTTTTCGATTTACTGATATTTTTCGGTGATTGATTAAACTGCAATGTGAATGAGTTTTTTTTTATTATGATATTTATAAATACAGACGTTGATAAGACTATCATAAAAATTATTGAATTGTATTGAATGTTGTTTTTTTTTTTTAATTTCGCAACTATTAGTGTGCAACTTGTTAACTAGTTTTAACTATTTACATAACATTTTGCCGCCTAAATTGTAAAATAATAATAATAAAAACAACAAACACAAAATTGTTTTTATTAACATTCTAGTTGGGGCATTACGAACGCTGCCACAATAATTGTTAAGTTAAAATCTTTTTAATTGCCTTTTTGAACCTGACCTTTTTTTCACAAAACACCGAATGCAAATGAAAACAAATAATTGATGTTGAAATTGAGAATGAATGGAAGTCTAGGTATTTTGAATGAGTTTGAATGTTCCATGACGTGTTCAAACTTACCCATATTTTAAGAGCTACTACAATATTCTAATCGAAAATCGCCAGAAATTCAAATTTTAAATTTTTGTTGACAGAAATCGTAAACGGAAATCTCATGGAAACGAAGAGCAATTAAAGCAAGTAAAAAGGTATCGGTCGGTTTTGCCGACAAATGTATACCCTCATCCAATGTTCGATTATTTCAAAACATTTTGACTTCATTCATGATTATTTTATTATTATTCAAATGTTTTACCTTTTATTCAGTAGGTTCCGAAGGAATGGGCCAATATTGGCCATTTCGTATCGGACATAAATAAATCGGATGCGAATTTCGCTTTTTATGAGCTTCATGGATATTCAAAATCTTCACAAATAATGGGATATGTGATATATAAAGATAACCTGATACTTATTTCGGATTGACCCCTTGTGGGGGAGGTACCAGAAAAAATGGTCCGGTCTTTACCGTTTTTTAACAGATCCTGTGTTGATAGAAATATTCAGATGTGTCAAGTTTAAATCGAATCCGATGTTAATTTCGAGTTTTATGAGCTTAATGGATATTCAAAATTTCGACCTTTGTGGGCGAGGTACCAGAAGGAGTTGACCGATATATTCCATCTTAACACCAGACTAACCCAAGACTAATATAAACATTGAGATATGTAAATTTGAAGACAATTCGATTCTTACATCACATTTTATAAGAGTTGTAATTATTCCAAATTTTGACCGTTTGGGGGGAGGTACTTGATTGTCCATTTTCACACCAGACCTAGCACTGACTCAAATATTAGGATTTGTAAAATTGGGGCAAAATCGGATTATCATTTCTCTTTCTGTGAAGTAAATATATTTTTTTGAAAACTTCGACCTTTTGTGGGGGAGGTACCAGAGGAAGTGGACCAATATATTCCATCTTAAAATCTTAATATAAATATTGGGATTGGGACTCTTACATCACATTTTATAAGAGATGTAATTATTTAAAATTTTGACCCTTTGTGGGGGAGGTACCAGAAGGTGTGGATCGATATTGTCAATTTTCGCACCAGATCCAGCACTGATGTTGGAGTTGGAGCAAAATCGGATTATCGTTTTTCATTCTGTCCAAAAAAATTTTTTTTTTTTTTTTTGAAAATTTCGAACATTTGTGGGGGAGGTACCAGAAGGAGTGAACCGATATATTCCATCTATACACCAGACCTTGGGTTATTATAAATATTGGGATGTGTGAAATTTGAAGACAATCGGACTCTTACATCACATTCTATAAGAGTTGCAATTATTCCAAATTTTGATACTTTGAGGGGGAGGTACTTGATGGAGTGGACCGAAATTGTCTATTTTCACACCTGACCTAGCACTAATGGAAATATTAGGATTTGTAAAGTTGGAGCAAAATCGGATCATCCTTTTTCTTTCTGTGCAATAAAATATTTTCTTTGAAAATTTCGACATTTTGTGGGCCGATATTGCCCATCTACGAACTCGATCTAAGTTTGACAAAAATATTACGACGTACCAAGTACCAGACAGACATACGGTCATCGCTAGATCGACTCCAAATGTTCTGAAACGAATTTGTATCAAAGAGACCTAGGGTCTAAAACTCTGTAGCCATATGGATGAGGGTATGAAAAAACATTTGCAAATATATTTAAAAAAAAATTAAGGAATGGCAAGATTTTAAAAGTTTAGACCAAAATTGGTATAATCACATTGAAAGGATGTTGATTTTAAATTCTGCAGAAAAACTATGCAGTGACTAACAGCGCGTCGCAGTGGTCGAAAAATGGCTAGTTATCTGAACATTTGCAATAGTCCATTCGGCAAATATTGGAAAATGAGCTCTGGGTAAAGCCATTGATACTCCAAAAATTGCAAGAGCTTACATCGCAACAGAATGAAAATAGACTCAAAAGAGCTAAAGAGTTGCTTCGCTTGGCCGAAAGTGGTAAATTGCCGAATTTGGTTTTCTCCAATGAGAAAACATTCGTTGTCCAGCAGCAAAGCGGTCAGCTCAAAATGTGCACCTTCGGTTGGCCACCAGAAGGTTCCTCGCTTCATTTTCAGCGCACAATGGCCACCAAAATCTCCGGATACCAATCCATAGGACTATTATATCTGGATTATTTTGAAAAGCAAAGTTGGCACTAAAAAATACCAAAGTGTCGATCACCTCAAGGAAGCCCTTCGCCGGGAATGGGCCAAAATACCGCAAAGCAATATTCGTGGAGCGTGTGACGGTTTCATTGACCGTTTCAAGGCCATAATTCTTGCCAAAGGTGACCAATTCGAACAAATCTAAACTTATTCTAAAATTTGATGCTATTTCCGACCATATTTGATTTCATTTAATAAAATTTAAAAAAAAATGTTAAAATGATGGCTTTTGACTTTGTTGCAGGTTTTTTTTTTTCTCGACCTGTATATACATCTGCAGATTTTCTAGAAGCATGCTTTTAAAAAATAACCTTTGTTATATAATCATTTACTTTTCAAGTTCAACTACGCCAAATCGGAAGATAACGTTCTATTGGACTTTTCCAAGAAGAACTTTATTGACCGGTAACCCAAAGTTCTAAATAACGTTTTTTTAAGTTTCGGTGGTAACTTATCAGTTCTTAGGCTCAAGTATGTCCACATGGCAATGAACGCAAAAAAGTGCATAACAACATATCAATGTTAAAATCTTCTCTGATTAAATAATCAAATCTATATTGCAAGAATATAACAAAGTAGTTTTTTGAAACTATTCAGATAAGAGTACCCCCTGCGTCTATACATGTACATATTTCAAATAGTTCAATATTTTCGATAGTGTTTATCTGTCATTTTCCAAAAACCAAAATCGAAATCGATTTTATATAAAAACCACTTAAAAGCCTATCAACCTGTGAAAAACAAACTATTTTCTTGTTATGTTCTTTTTGTATTGTGCAATTAGAAATTTAAACGTAACTCTTATCTAGATATTAAATCCAACAAAACAACAACACAGAATTCTGCAAGACTTTGACCATTTTAATAAAACTTGTTTTATGCGGGACAAACATCCATACACATCATTATTCAAGGTTATTTTTTGTTGCAACTTCAAGTCATACAATTTGAAAACTTACCCAATAATGCCATGTGGAAAACTGACCACCAAATAGTTGCGGTCCGGTGTCAATTCGGCGGTTTTTACCAATTCAATGGGGAAATAATCACGCAAGTGATTGGTCAAAAAATTGTTACGCAAAAATTTCCAGCTGTTGAGAAATAAAATTAAGTGGTAAATTATTAAGTAAATTGAAAAATATAACAAATTAGTTAATCATTGAGGAATTTCTAAAATTTATTAAGTAAATTGAAATGAGAAGAACAATTGAGCATCATTCTACATTAAGGTGGATAGAAAAAAGTTTCGAATGTTAAATTTCATATAAGTTTTAAGTTATTTAGGCAAGTTATAATTTTGAATAAAAAAGAAACCTTGCATTTTCCACTTATTTATTTAAGAACAATAAATACTTACCCATTACCATCCAAATGTGATGCCCGTTTTGTGTGATCAAAATAAATATATGTCAAGTAGACCAACAACAAAGCTCGTCCAAGATAATTTAAGTAAAGCTGCAATAAAAAGAGACCCAGAAGTAAGCAATTAATGATCAACATATAAAACATATAGCACAGGTGGTTAATTTCAGACCAATAGAGACTATATATATGTTAGAAGTAGAAGAAGTTCGCCTTTTGTGTATTTCGGATATCGCCTGTATGTAATGCTGGTATTTTTTCACACAAAAGTGGTGGTCCATTGTACTCGCTGTCCTAAAATCTAACTTTATGCGAGATTTCGTGTACTTTGGTTTCTATTTGTGACCGTTATAACGGCTGCAAAATCAGGAACATTTTTAGTTGTTGGTCCATTTCAACCCCTAATATATTGCGGACATCTCTGAAAATAATAGGCCTAGCCCTTCTGAGCCCAACCCCACCGTTGTGAAAATTTTCGTGAGAATCGGACGATATTTGCAATACTTATATAATATCCCCAACCTGTGTTGTAAGATGAAAAAATATTACAAAATATTATAAGTCAAATTTAAAAAATCGCATGCGATAAAATATATGAAAAACTAAAAAAATGGCACAAAATACCACAAAATCTATAATAACACCATTATTGACAGATTTTTATGCGAGTTTTTTAGATTTTATTCTCTTATGCCAATAGGGCATTCAGAATTGACAAAATCGGTCCAGCCATTCTTGAGATATATGCATTCTAGTTAACATCCCCTTCCATTGTATGTTCACATTGTATATATTTCCCTATATATATCAGCTATATTTACTATCGGCGTCTACGTAACGGTCAGAATTGACCTCTTCATTTATTTGTGATTTCGCCGGCATTAAAAATATTCGCGTTTTAATGGAAAATTTGACTTTTATTTAACACAAATGTTGTGGCCTATTTCACCCACTAAATATTAAATATAATTTTCGGCCCAATCAAACTTATAATACCCCCAACACATAGTGTTGTAGGGTATAAAAACTGTAAGTTCGGCCGGGCCGAACTTTGAATACCCTCCACCATTTTGTACAAATTTGGCAATTTAAAAAAAAAATTAAAATCCATTAAAAATTCTGTTAAAATCTTAAAAATGCCGAATGTAGCCGTATATTAGGGTCTACACAACTTTTGTCATAAGCCTGCAAAATTTTCTGTCATAGCCTGTAGTATTCATTACGAACTTCAAATACTAAATTTAAAATAGTTCCGGTAAATAATGTCGCTAAAATCATCAAAATACCGAATATCGGGAGGTACCGTTATATGGGGGCTATACGAACAGACAATTTTCTGTCATAGGCTGTAGTATTCATTACGAACTCCAAATACTAAATTTAAAATAGTTCCGGGATAAATGTCGCTAAAATCATCGAAATACCGAATATCGGGGGGAACCGTTATATGGGGGCTATACGTAGATGTAGGCCTGCATAAGTATTTGTGTCATAGGCTGTAGTAACTGTTCCGAACTTTATATACGAAATTTAAAACAATTCCGGTGAATAACGTTGCAAAAATCATCAAAATACCGAATTTCGGGAGGAATATGATATTGTAGACCTACTTATATAGACAATTCTCTTCCAGAAGGTAATGTACTCACAAGGAACTCCATTTGTGGTTTTTAAGACAATTTCATTGAAAAATCTGGTTCGAAATGTGCGGGTTGAAAGACCCATAACTCTGGTTCCGAAAAAAGGTATTAGCACAAATTGTTGCATTATGGAATGGTAAGAGTCTCAACTATAATTTCGCATCAATTTTGCTGACCCCCATAATGGTCCTTTTTTTGACTTTCTGGGGGTTTTATAAATAATCAAAAATATCAATCATTTGACTATAACTTCCGAATCGCTTTAAATAATCACATCATGTGACCACTTGTTGGATATGCATATCGGGTAAGTGGAACCGAGTCTAGCCTAAGTATTGAACACGGACTTTTGGGTCGAACATTTGGGGTCCCGTTTGTTAAAAATTATGTTAAAATCTTAAAAATACCAAATATAGGAAGTCTCTGTCATTTTGGGGTCTGTACGAAGACGTGGACTTTCATAGGGAACTTTTGTCTTAGGCAATATAACAATATTCAAATACGAAACTTGAAAAAACTACGGTGAATAATGTACCTAAAATCATCAAAATACCGAATATAGGGAGGTACCGTTGTATGGAGACTACACGAAAAATTGTACCTGCACAAACAATTTGATTTTCTGTCAAAGGCTGTAGTTCCCATAAGGAACTTCAAATACTAAATTTGAAAAAATTCTTATGAATATTGTGCCTGAAATCGTCAAAATACCGAATAGGTACCGATACATGGGGGTTATACGAAGACCTGGACCTGCTTAGACAATTTTCTGCCATATACTGTAGTTCCCATTAGGAACATCAAATACGAAATTTGAAACAATGCCGGTGAGTAATGTCGCTTAAATCATACCGAATAAAAGGAGGTATCGTTATATGAGGGCTATACGAAGACGTGGGCCTGTTTAAGCAATTTTTTGTCTTAGGCTGTAGTAACCATAAGGAACTCGAAATACGAAATTTGAAACAATTCTGACGAATAATGTCCCCAAAAATATTCTTTTGTAGATTTTCAGACAATTCCTACAATTGGCAACATCATCAAAATACCGAATATCGGGGGTACCGTTGTATGGGGGCTATACGATATCGCGGATCTTCTTTTGTGGATTTTCAGACAATTCGTATAATTGGCTACATCATCACAATACCGAATATCGGGGGTACCAGCTATAAAATATCCGGCTATATGGACCGATATAGCCCATCTTCGAACTAAACCTGCCTATAGATAAAAGACTGATCTGTGCAAAATTTTAGCTTCCTATCTTGATTCGTTTTGACTCTAGCGTGATTACAACAGACGGACGGACAGGGCTAAATCGTCTTAGAATTTTACGAAGTATTTTATAAATACTTCGATAGGTCTAAAATTATTATTTCAATGAGTTACAGACGAAATTACGAACTTATTATTCTCTCCATACTATCTATGGTGGAGGGTATAAAAATGGTGAGATTACTTTGAGGCGGAGATGCTACATTTTACTGGTACTGTGATTTAAGGCAAATACTAGTCTAGGTTGATATATAGATGGCGTTTAAATGTTACATTTTTTTTACAATAAGTTAAGTTCCGTGGTATAGGTTTCAGTTCTGATGCATCCAAATTTAAATCCTGCCGAAAGCAACCTTATCTAAAAACGGCACCCTGCTTTTCTACGTTAAGTACGGCACCCTGCTTTTCTACGTTAAGTTTACCACGTTTTAAAAAATAATAGCACGTTTACATATTACCAGATTCAGAAAACCCATTGAACCTTCTTTATAATGACAGGTTTACCCGGCAAAAATATCATGTGTAAACATGATATAAGAAAGTAATTACTCTCACTATTTATTAATATTATTATTATTATTATCATTATTATTATTATTATTATTATTATTATTATTATTATTATTATTATTATTATTATTATTATTATTATTATTATTATTATTATTATTATTATTATTATTATTATTATTATTATTATTATTATTATTATTATTATTATTATTATTATTATTATTATTATTATATTATTATTATTATTATTATTATTATTATTATTATTATTATTATTATTATTATTATTATTATTATTATTATTATTATTATTATTATTATTATTATTATTATTATTATTATTACTATTATTTAATTTTTTTTTTCAATTTACTTAAATTTCCACATTTTGAAAATTACTTACCAAGAAAAAGGCAGTTAAAAACAACGAAATAAATGGCAAAAACATAAATACATAAACATAAAATCCAGCTGCCAATGTTTGAATGCGGCGCCGAGGTGGTACATGTAACGGAGCCCATTCGATTTTCATGTGACTGGATATTTCCTCAATTTCTTTTGAGAATTCCATGGAGAGCTCCTTTAATTTTTCCTTCGATTCCATGGAAAGCTCCTTTAATTTTTCCTTCGATTCCATGGAGAATTCCTTGAGTTTCTCCCTAGATTCTGTGGAGAATTCTTTCAATTTCTTATTGGATTCTTTTAATTTTTCCTCCAACACGGTCATGGTGAATTAGTTTTGTTTTTTCCAAATTGTAAATAAAAATTCTATTTTTATTTTTCCATTAAATGTTTCGATTTTGGTTGTTGTTGTTTATTTATCTTTCAGTTCTACAACTGGGCACTGCACTCAATGTTAATGTGAAACACGGGGGTGGACGGGCGCGTTTTAATTTTATTTATTTATTTTGTGTGTATTTTTTGTTTTTTTTTTTTTTTTTCAAATCGATTCCACAAGCTATGCCGTCTACTCGCGTTAAAATTCTAAATTCAACTGAAAAAAAAATAAAATGCCGTACATTCACACTTCGAAATCGCACACTACCAGGCCGCCACCAGTGAGCGCTGTTAGTCAGACAACATTTTCCGGTCATACTCGACGACTCATTTCGTTTCAAATCTTATCTCAATTAGACGGAAAAAAGTTCTATCGTCCAGTTATCAGCGTATGAGCAATTCTAGTTCTCGTTCTGAAACGCTTTCGTAATTTATCGTGTTTACATTTTTTGTCCTCTGTCTCTCTCCGAATTGAACTGCAATCCCCGGCCTCCACATGAGTTTACAACACACATTTTTTTGTTATTGTTGTGTTGTTAAAAATACTTGTTTGTTTAAATAAAATGCCTTTTGTTGTTATAAATATTAGGGTGGAGTTCGAATAATATTTGTATACGAAAAAATATAGAATACCTTTATTAGGCCGTCGAAAATATCTCTGGCGTCCTTTATGTATTGAATCTTTTCATACCGTCCTATATACATATATAAAAAGTCTGTATAAGTTTATACATTTTTTTTTGAGTTCTACTTTATATCAAAAGGTCCTCCAAAAATTGGGTGCTTTATTCCGTAAAAAAAGATCTCCCCGAATAAAGGGCTTGTAAAAAGTAATTACTAAATGGAACACCATCAATGAATATAAATCAAATAGGAGGTGCTCTATCAATAGGAGATATCTATATGTCAACTATAAATATCAAGTTGTGAACGAATAGAAGACGCCCATGAATAGATAGAAGATCTGTTAAGGTATTTTATTAATAGGAGACCTTTATGGGGTTCTCTATAAATATATATAAATCGATCTCCTTGGGATCACCTATAAGTAGAGGTCATTTTTGAAATACACTATATGTGGTCCTCTTTCTGGTGAGGTAGACCCCTAGTTACTTCTAAGGATCTTTATACAATCACTTTCTTAGTCGATTCATGCATGTCAGTCTTTCCATGTATTTTTGTAAACAAGATGCAGGTCGCATTTATCATTCGATTGAGATGAAATTTTCCAAGCAATATTTATTTGGCTCAAGGACGAGCTCTATTGAAATTAGTGAGAATCGGTTCAAATATAGATATAGCTCCCATATTTATCTTTGACCGATATCAGATTTATTGTGCACCAAATGACCTGTATTTTGGCACATCCAACCGAATTCATCCTAGAAACAAGTACTTTGATTTTGGTGAAAATCGGTGCAGATATAGCTATAGCTCCCATATACAGGGAGAGATCAAAAAACTACTCATGAACTGAACATATCGCAATATTCCATTCGGCAAATATTGAAAAAGGAGCTCGGGTAAAGCCATTGAAATTCCAAAAAGTGCAAGAACTTAAACCGCAACACAAAGAAAATAGACTCAAAAGAGCTAAATAGTTGCTTCGCTTGGCCGAAAATGGTGAAATGCCGAATTTGGTTTTCTCTGAGAATTTTCAAAAAAATAAAATCCATTGAAAAGGGAGGTGCCTATATATGGGGGATATACGATATTGTGGACCTATATAGACAAATCTATGTCTGGGGGTAAAGTACTCGCAAGGAACTCCTTGTGCAGATTTTCAGGTAATTCCATTGGGAAATGTGGCTTAAATCATCAAAATACCGAATATCGGGGGGTACCGTTGTATGGGGGCTATACGATATCGTTAACATATATAGAGAACTATCTGTCAAGGGGTAAAGTGCTCACAAAGAACACCTTATGTGGAGTTTCAGACAATTCCATTGAAAAATGTGGCTGAAATCATCAATATACCGAATATCGGGGGGGGAATTTTACGCTGATCAAGAATATATATACCTTGTTGGGTCTAAAATGATTATTTCGATGCGTTACAAACGGCATGACGAACAGAATATACCCTCCATACTATATGGATATGGTGGAGGGTATAAAAAATATATATTTAAGGGGTTGTTTCTATTTAGCTCCTGTTATTGTGTCATGAGTTAACCCAGCAAAAAGCTATAATGTAAATGTACTACAAGTCATGATATTCTTTTTTAAATAATCTAATTCTGTTGAGAGAAATTTGGGATGTAAAAAATCCACCCTAATATAACCAAATTATTATTCGTGTAAAGCTATATACTATGTTTGTACGCATGTTACATTTTTGTTGCCATAACAAACTGATTGCTAGAACAGTTTGTTTTTCATGTTTCCATGATATTGAATTGCGATAAAATTAATCGCTTCACAAATTCTAGGCGTATCGAATACTAACGGAACAATGTCGCTCTTAATTATTTTTGCTTTCGTATTTTCCCTTTCAATATTGACTCACACTCGCATTATCGCTCTAATCAGATGTGTTGTACTTCAAATGCAAAAAAAAATATGTTTGTATTTAATTTTCCGGCATAAAACAATTTGTTATTATTCAATATGCAGATGTGTAATATGCTATTGTAAATAATAAATGGCTAGATAAAGGCAGTGATATAAAGATTTTGAAATATTGAATATGGGGGAATAGGGTGTTTAAGTGCGGGAAAATCTGGATAATTCATCATATTGTGTATTATAAATATTATCATCTATTGACATTGATCGAAATGGTAGTTGTCAATGAAAATAAGAGTTAAAAGCATACTTTTAGGAGCAATGATAAAGCAGTCTAGCAAATTGACAAACACTGAGAGAAAAATAAATGTGTCAGTTTTTAGATATGTCAGTTTTCTGTTGTAATCAAGATAAAGATAATGTTTTTTTTATCATATTATAATCAAGAAGATAATGTCCTGCAATCAATTGTCATACATTTGACAACATTTCATTGTTGAAATGTTTATTACAAATTCATTGTAAGCACGTTTACATACAAAATCTCTACCCGGATTAACCCAGATAATTGACCAAACACAATAAAGCCGACCACATGAAACATAACTTAAATATATTGTGATTGGTCAAGTGTCGGGGTTAATCCGAGTGGAGATGTTGTATGTAAACATACTTTAAAATAAGTTTAAACGACGCCTATCGAAGGTTGTTATGATATGCACTTTTCAACAATTTTAATGAATTTAAATAATAATATTTTATTTAGTTCGACAGTTGATTGTTTCAGCAGGTGCCGCGATGGGACCACCTGTATTCTTCAACGATGTTTAGAATAATAAGGTGCATATACATAAAAGTCATCGACAGGCTTCTTCGTAAAAGAACAATGAAATTTTAGGTTGACTTAGTTCAAATTCAACCCATAATTTATATTTGCACACCCTACTCTCCTTTGTTCAGAACTAGATCTGAAAAATCGATCGAAAATACCTTTGGTACCAAATCTATTTCCTGACTTTTGGGTCCTTCAGCTTTAATTTTTATACCATCAGCCATATGGTTTGAATGGGTATATATAATTTGATATGGCCAAAACATGCCTCATCGAAATAACCGTTTTAGACCCTAGATCTCTTTGGACCAAGTCCGTTTCAGGATATTTAGAGTCGATCTAGCGATGTCCGTCCGTCTGTCTGTCTGGCTGGTACGCACGATAACTCTCGAAGGGAGTATCGGATTTGGTCCGAATTTGGTAATACAGGGTGACATAAAAAAAACTGCAACAACGTCAAACGCCATAATTTTTACATTTTTTTTTTAATTTTTTTGAATGAATGCAAAAATGTCGGAAATAGCATCAATTTTTAGAATAAGTTTAGATTATTGTTCGAATTGGTCACCTTTGACACGAGTTATGGCCTTCACACGGCCAATGAAACCGTCACACGCTGCCCGATTGTTGGTCTGCGGTAATTTTGCCCATTCCCGCCAAAACGCTTGATTGAGGTGATCGACATTTTGGTATTTTTAGTGCCAATCTTGCTTTCTAAAATTCTCCAGACGCAATAGTCCAACGAATTGGTATTCGGAGATTTTGGTGACCATTGTGCGCTGGAAATAAAGCGAGGAACCTCATTTTGTAACCATTATTGGGTGGTGCGTGCGATAGTGCTGAGTCCTGTTGGAATGTCCGAGGTCTGCAGCCAAAATGTTTACGTGCCCAAGGCTTTAATAAACCCTCCAGAATATTTTCGCGATAATATTCGGCATTTTTTCAGATGCCACGGTCGATTAATACGAGTGGAGAGAGACCATCGGCTGTTATGGCGGCCCATGGCCGGCGCTTGAGTTCTGGTGGCCAACCGAAGGTCCACATTTTCAGCTGACCTCTTTGGCAAGAAAAAACACGGTCATTTAGTTTGTTTACAAACTGCTGGACAACGAATGCTTCCTTCGGCATTTCACCACTTTCGGCCAAGCAAAACAACTCATTAGCTCCTTTGAGTCTATTTTCTTTCTGTTGCGGTGTAAATTCTTGCACTTTTTGGAATTTCAATGGTTTACCCCGAGCTCAGTTTTCAATATTTGCCGAATGCGATATGTTCAGCTCAAGAGCCATTTTTCGGCCACTGCGACATGGGTTTCGATCAAGTTGCTTCTTTACTTTTGGAACCATACACCATCTGCTGTTTTCTTCCGTCCACTTCCTTGACGTAGGGCTACACTGTAACGAGCGAAGGTACGAGACACAAAAGATTTATTCACCCATTTTCCATTTCTTCTTGTACCACCCCCACAAAGGGTCAACATTTTGAATATACATGAAGCTCTCAGCACGCGAAATTAAAATCCGATTCCATTCAGACTTGGTACATCTCAATATTTCCATCAATACAAGATATGTTAAAAGATAGCACAAAGCGGACTATTCCTTCTGGTACCTCCCCCACAAAGGGTTTTGAAAAACCAAAACGATTATAAAATCCGAAATTAGCATTTGGTTCTCTTCATATTTCACTCATCCCATTATTTCTTCTAACTCCAGATCTGCTGGGAAGATTGGATATATCGGTCCACTCCTTCTTGTCCCTTCCCCACAAAAGGTCAAAGTTTTGAATATTCATGAAGGTCACAAAACGTGAAGTTAACACCCGATTCCATTCAGACTTGGTACATATCGATATTTCCATCGATATAAGATCTGTTATAAAGATGGTAGAGATCGGACTATTTATGCCGGTACCTCCCTCACATAGGGTTCAAGATTTTGAAAACAAAACGGTCAAAGAAAGCGAAATTGGCATCCAACTCTCTTCAAACTTCGCACATACAAACATTTTTGCCAACACAAGATGTCTTGTGAAGATGATATGTATCTGCGAACCCCTTCTGGTACCTCACCCAAAAAGGGCCACAACTTTCAATACTTTTATCTGTCAAAACTTGCGAAAAATGTCAGTGATTCTTTACAACTGGTTATATCTAAATATTTCTCCCAACCAGAAACCTGAGATGAATATGGAATTTATGATTTCGCATAAAATTGCATATAAGTGTTCGATTTTCCGGTATTTTAGTCCATATCAATATTTTTATCTGCATTAGATGAAGTAAGAAAATAGAATACTCCGATCGAGTACATCTGGTATCTCTCACACTTTTTAATATTTTCTAAAAATTATCACATATCTCATATGAAGTGAAGGAAGTAACCAATATAGTCCAAACCTGGCACGTCGCAACATTTATGCCATATTTATCTAAGTCCCATACGAAATGGACAACAATAAACCATTCTTTCGCAGCCTAATCCATAGAGGGCTGAGGGTATACATGTGTCGGCAAAACCGACTGATACTTTTTAATTTGTTTTTAAATACTATTTATATTTACAATTTGTGACTTAGTGCTTAGAATATTTTTTTACATAATTGATTAGGATTTTTGTTAATATAACAACAACACTAACTTAACATAAGCTAAATAATTATTTTTTTTTTAATATTGTGCTTTATCTTATCACTAATTTAGTCTTCTCGGCATTTTTAATATATTTATGTTTGTATTTCTCAAACATTTCATTCAGACTATCGATGACTTTTTGATGGATTTCATTGACATATTCCATGTCGGGTTCATCCATTTGTTTAACATCAATGGGTGCACCCATAACTTGGACAATTTGTCGACGATGTGGCAAAAAGCCGAAGGTATACTGGAAGAAACCACGACCCAAAACAATTAACGGACTGACGCCTGTCCAATGTTTGACAAAAGATTGGAATTTACGCAGCATAGAATCGGGAGGATTATCCACTTGATCGTAAATATCAACTTCACCGAAGGAGAATGAGGGGACAATGGGAGATCTGTGAAGAGACAAACTTTGTATTTTATCCTTTTTAAAATAAACTCATTTTTTCGTACTCACCCTGTGCGTATGGCAATCTTAACAAATCCCTTGCGATTTTTCAATACCAAAACATAACGACCTGGATGCGATTCCAATGACTCTTCAGCGCCACCCACCAATAAGCCCACGGCATTTGATGTAAATCCATCACGATTATCAGGATGCTTGGGATCATTGGATTTCTTTAGGTAATACATAAGAGATTGTTTGGAACAGGATACTAGACCCCAAACTCTCAATATCTCACGCATAAATGGTATACGGAAATGTATATCCAAGGTGGCAATTTTTGGCCTAATACCGGGAAACAATTTCATCCATTTGCCGATGTTATTACCCATATTGTTGCCAATGCCAGTGCTATCGAGAGAAAATTAAGGATATTGATTAATTAGCATATTTTGTAGCATACTTTTGGGGATTAAAAAAATATAAACACTGTCTTGGTGGTTTAATTGGTATTACATCAACGACAATTAGTATTTTAAGATAGAAATATTGATATGTGCAAGTCTGACTGGAATCGGAAGTTAATTTCGCGTCTTACGAACTTCATAGATATATACAATTTTTACCCTTCGTTGGGGTGGTACAGGAAGGGTGGTATCTTGGGTTAATAACATTATAGAGAGGTGTGAAATTTGAAGACAATCGGACTCCTTACATCACATTTTATAAGCGTAATAATTTCTCAAAATTTTGACCCTTTTGGGGGAGGTACTTGATGGAGTAGACCGATATTGTCCATTTTCGTACCTGACCTAGAACTGATTCAAATATTAGTATTTGTAAAGTTGGAGCAAAATCGGATTATCTTTTATCTCTCTGTGCAGTAAATTATTTTATTTGAAAATTATGACCTTTTTGGGGGAGGTACCAGAAGGAGTGGACCGATTTCCCAAATCGATCTAAGTTCGATAATAATATTACGATGTATCAAGTTTGGACCAAATCGGATGCTCCCTTCGAGAGTTATGTGCGCACCTGCAAGCTTGACAGACAGACGGACGAACCAACGGACATCGCTAGATCGACTCCAAATGTCCTGAAACGGATTCGGTCCAAAGAGATCTAAGCCCTAAAACCATTATTTCGAAGACCATATGGCTGACGGTATAAAAACTTACCCAAAAATTCCATGTGGGAAACTGACAACCAAATAATTGCGATCTGGTGTCAATTCAGCGGTTTTAACTAATTCAACGGGGAAATAATCGCGCAAGTGGTCGGTCATGAAATTGTTACGCATAGATTTCCATCTGTTGAAAATAAAAGGATATAATCATTAGTAGAAGAAATAAATACAATCTGTTAATAAATAATAAATAAATAATCGTTCCACCCTAATGTATATATAGCCGTAGTAATTTTACAATTAACAATTACTTACCCAATACCATCTAATGCCGATGCCCGGTTTTTATGATCAAAATAAATATACGTCAAGTAGATCAACATCAAAACTCGTCCAACATAGTTCAAATAGAGCTGCAATTAAGGAGAAAAAAATAAAAATAATTATTCAAATATTTAAAAACTGCTTTAGACAAAAAGACGTTTTTGCAAATTTCTCTTAGTTTGAGAACATGTGGTAAAAACTTGAGGCAGTATCATTTTGACTTTTGGAATTGCAACCCAATCTATTGAAAGACAAAAGGTTCGTTTACATTATTGGAGGTTAACTCATTGAGTTTAATACACCTAGTGACTTAACCATGCGAGTTTAGACACACCCTTAAAAGGAAAATTGAGCACCATTGCGGTTATAAAATTTATTATTTCCAGAACTGCTAGAAGGAAAATGTTTTATTACGACAACCGATGTTTTCTTTATGATATTGAAAAAAATTGCAAAACTGGTAGATTCTTGCCGGTTCTGGAACAGAGCAAATATGTCTTTATTTACATTGATATACTTAGAAAAAAAAGCATTTCAAATACAATTTAAACAACGCCTTTGCGGAAAAAGGCATCTTTGGACCAAATCCGTTTCAGGACATTTGGAGTCGATTGAGCGAAATCCGTCCGTCTGTCTGGTTGGCTGGGGCGCACGATAGCTCTCGAAGGGAGTATCCGATTTAGTCCAAACTTGGTACTTTGTAATATTTTTGTCAAACTTAGATCGAGTTTGGGAATGAGCAATATCGGTCCACTCCTTCTGGTACCTCCCACACAAAAGGTCAGCATTTTCGTAGAAAATAATTTGCATCATAGAAAGAGAACGGATAATCTGAGTTTTTCAAACTTTGCCAATCGTGATATTTGCATTAGCGCAAGATCGGTTGCGAGAATTGACTACTACTTCTAGTACCTCCCCATAAACATGTCAAAATATTTTTAAAAAAAAATTATAAAGGCGGAAGGTACCAATCTGTCGGCGGAACCGAGAGATACTCTTTAACTTGTTTTGTAATTGTTTGAAAGCAAAATATAATATATCTCCTAGTGTGTTATCATGAGCAAATACATTTTTTGTTATTGTTTAAAAGCAAAATATTGCGGAAACACTTACGACTTCGGGGTGTACTGCATAAAACACAGTGATACATTTCGTTAGTATGTACATATCGGATTGGATTTAAAATAAATCCAGTTATAAGAAGTTTATTTTACAATAAAACAAGTAAGCAGAAGTGATCTTTTAAAATATTCGCGGTTTAGTGTAAATTTTCCTATTTTCTAACATAAAAGTTAGGGTATATTTTACACGCTAATTATTGTCCGATGGCCGCTTAAATTGCTCGATTTCTGCCCAGTCCCAAACTCTAACTCCATGTAAATTTTCGCGTCGATTGGTTCATAATTGTGACCTATAGAGCAACTGCAAAATCAGAAAATTTTTTGGTCCATTTTAACCCCTAAATACCGTGCGATCTTCTCCAAAAACAATAGGGCTCTAGTCTGACCCTAACCCCAACTCCATTTTCAATTTCGTGAGGATCGGTTCATAATTGCGACCTGTAGAGTGATTACAAATTAACATGGACAGACGGACGGACGGACATACATAGCTAGATCGACTCAACTCGGCGAGCTAGGAAGACCCATATATACTTTCCTATGTGGGAAATCAATATTTCGAAGTGTTACATAATTTTTGGCCCAATCAAACTTATAATACCCCCAACACATATTGTTGTAGGGTATAAATACATAATTTACAATAAAACAAGTAAACAAAGGCTATAGTCGTGCGGGACCGATTATGCGATACCCTACAGCACTACAATATGTTGGAAGCCCCCTTAAGTCCAAATACATTTTCAAAGATTTCGTTTTTGAAATGACGTTATGCTAAATTCCTCATTCATCATAAATTGTGGCATATAGAGGAGCTGCAAAAGCAGGAACATTTTTTGTTTTTTCAACACCTAAATATTTTGCAATCATCTCCAAAAACAATAGGGTTATATTCTGACCCTAACTCCACCTTTTGTGAGGATCAGGCCATAAATTGAAAATAATAAATCTTCTACGTATTATCATAAGTGAATGCACTTTACATTTATATACCCTCCACCTTGGAAAGGAGGGTATATTAACTTTGTCATTCCGTTTGTAACTTCCCAAAATATTCTTTGTAGACCTCATAATCAGCATAAAATTCTAAATCGATTTAAATTTGTTCGTCTGTCCGTCTATCTGTTGAAATCACGATATAGCTCACATTATTTGACGTAGAGTTTCAAAATTTGGCAGAACAATTTGTATTGTGTTGCGGTTGTTATTAAAAATAAGATATATCGGTTTATGTTTTGGCACAGCCCTCATATAACCGTATCTTTAAGTATTCGGTATTTTGAGGATTTTTTGCCACATTTTTCTAGTGATTTGTCTAAAAATTGGTCATAATGGGTTCTAGCACGTGTGGCGAAACATTAAAGGTATAGATCCACGTTATTATAGCCCCCATATAACGGTTCCTCCGGATATTCCGTATTTTGATGATTTATGCCACATTTTGTCACGGACTTGTCTGGAAATTAGTAGTTGTAGGTCATAATGGGTTGTAGCTCTTTTGGCGAAACATTGTATGTATGAGTCCGCGTTTTGGTATAGCCCTTTTACAAGGGTACCTCCCGATATTCGGTATTTTTACCACATTATTTCACGGATTTGTCTAAAAATTGGAATTGGTGGGGGCCATGATGGGGTCTAGCTCCGGTGGCGAAAGATTGTATGTATAGGCCCACGTTTTCGTATAGCCCCACATAATGGTACCTCCCGGTATTCCGTATTTTGATGATTTTTGCAAAAAAAATTTGCGGATTTGTCTAAAAATTGATACTTATAGTTCGTAATGGGTTCTAGCTCTTGTGGCAGAACATTGTACGTATAGGTTCACGTTTTGGTATAGCCCCCATATAACGGTACAACCAGACATTCGGTATTTTGATAATTTTTGCAACATTTTTCAAGCGATTTGTCCAAAAATTGGTATTTGTAGGTCATAGTGGGTTCTAGCCCGGTGGCAGAACATTGAATATCTAGCTCCATGTTTTCCTATAATGCACATGAACCGATACCTACCGATATTCGTTATTTTGATAATCCTAGACACATTTACCCACGAAATTGTTTCAAATTTGGTATTTAAGAACATTTGGTAGATGACAATCCTTGCAGTATAAAATTGTCTGTGGAGGTTCCCGCTTTCGTTTGGCCCCGTATAACGACCCCACTCACTTTATGGTTTTTCAAAAGTTTAACTGTATTGTCCAAACGGTCTTAATGGTATATGAAGTTTAAAGGGGAACACGCTTGAATTTAGATACGTTTATGTAAAAAAGTTTCCTTTACTCAAAGGTGGAAGGCAATAAAAGTTCGGCCCAGCCGAACTTAACATTTTTACTTGTTACTTTTAAAAAATATTAAAAGTACTTTCGGAAAACAGGCTGTTACAATTTCTTACTAAAATTATTGATTATATATTATTATTATTATTAAAAAGCAAAATTTTATAGCTTTTTGGGGAGTGCTCTAAATTTCAGAAATATTTTTATTAACTTTAATTTTCTTCTCTCGAAAATTCCTGCACAGCGGGCTACCCTGACAACAAAGTAAACTTCAATAATATAGTTCTCACGAAAGTCCAAGTACAGGGTGAGATGAAAACACTGCAACCCACTTCAGACTGCTGTCATTTCTAAGCCATTCGTCCGATGGAATTTAAGCTTGATAGTGAGATTTCTTGATATTTGGCTAGAAAACCACAAGTGGCTATCGTTAGAGCACTTCAGCATTTAAATGTGATTTTTTTTTGCTTTCATTCAATATCATTAAAAAAATGTAAAAATTATGGCGTTTGACTTTGTTGCAGTTTTTTTATCTCACCCTGTATATTTAGCTCCAATACATAATTAAACTCCTGCAGACATAGGCAACACAGTCCAGAATATTTCGTTCACAAATTTTACTCACCACAAATAGCGCCGCCAATAGCATCGAGACGAATGGCAAAAACATAAAAACGTAAACATAAATACCCGCCGCCAACGTTTGTATCCGACGACGAGGTGGAATATTTATTGGAGCCCATTCGATTTTCATATGACTTGTTATTTCTTTGATCTCTTTCGAAATTTCCTTAATTGCCTTCGAGTCGATGAACTCTTTTATTTTCTTATTTGATTTTAGGAATTTTTCTTCGAGCACGGTCATTGTGTGTGGCAAGTAGTTTTTTCTTAATTTATTTCAAAAATAAATATTTATTTCTTTCTATTATTATATGATTTTCAGTTCACAATTATGGGTAAGCAAGAATTTAAACGTATTATTCCTTATTAATTCGAAGCGCTTCGCAAAAGCACCACCGACTGTTCTTGTTTAAATTCTAAATTGAACTGAAATAAAATTGAATGGCATGCAATCACACTTTGAAATCTCACCCGAATTATAGGCTAGTGAGTGCGGGGTGCTATTAGTCAGACAGAACTTTGCCGGTTCATACATGGTTCAGTTTAAATCTTATCTGAATTTGACTAGATGTCGCACATCCAGTTATCAGCTCAATAAGCAATTTAAGGTTCTGAATATCTTGGTTGTATTGTGTGTATGTGTATGTGTTTTTTGATTTTTTGTTTTCAATTAAATTGTAATCGCCGGCTTGTCAATGTTAAAAAATTTACAACTAATACTTTTGTTGTTGCATTTTTGTAACAAAAATATTATAATATTTGGTTGTACGTTTGTTAGGGTGGTCTTTAAAAAGGCGAATGTTCTTAAATAATTGTCAATTATTTTCCTGCAAAGTCCTTCATAGATTGTTCTTACAAATCTTCTATTTAGAAAATCTTCTCTAGAAAGTTCACGATTTCAGTCTCCAAAAATCGTGTCCCACTGTAAACTACAAATACTAGTAATACCGTTTGGTATCCTTAAAGTATGGGCCCATATAAATGCCTCACCCACCCATAAAGTGGGTGAGGCATTTATATGGGCCCATACTTTAAGGATTGTCATCTACTTAAACTTCTTAAAGTAGAAGGACATATGCATTTAATATTTCGCCACCGGAGCTAGAACCCATTACGAACGACAAATATCAATTTTTAGACAAATCGCATGAAAAATGTGGCAAAAATCATTGAACCACCGACTATTGGAAGGTATCGTTATATGGGAGTTATACCAATACGTGGACCTATATATACCATGTTCCGCCACCGGAGTTAGAACCCATTTCGAACTACAAATACCAATTTTTAGACAAATTAGTGAAAAAAGGTATCGAAAAGATCAAAATACCGAGTATCGAAAAATACAGTTATGAAATGTGGACCGATATATCTCTTTTTCAATACCAACCATCCTAGAAATAATACAAATTGTTCTGCCAAATTTTTAATTAAGCTCTAAGTTAAATAATGTGGACTGTATGGTGATTTCAACAGACAGATGAACATTGTTAAATCGACTTAGAATTTTATGCTGATTATGAGTATATACGGGGTGAGATAAAAAAACTGCAACCAACTTTAGACTGCTGTTATTTCTAAGCCACTCGTCCGACAGCTGTTAACATTATTCCAGTGACTGCTAATTATTGCTCATTGTTTACAAAAGCATTTTGGTGAGATTTTTCAGAAAAAAAGTTATTCGTGATAGTTATTCGTACAAAAGCATTTTGGTGAGACTTTTCAGAAAAAAAGTTATTCGTGATGGAATTCAAGCGTGCTTGTGTGATTTCTTTATATTTGGCTGGAAAACCGCAAGTGGCTATCGTTGGAGCACTCCAGCATTTAAATATGAACAAATCTTTTGTGTCTCGTACTATCGCTCGTTACCGTGATACTGGTAGCGTAGCCCGACGTCAAGCAAATGAAGGCAAGAAAACAGCAACATCAACAGTAATGGTTCGAAAAGTAAAGAAGCGATTTGATCGAAACCCGTGTCGCAGTGGCCGAAAAATGGCTCGTGAGCTGAACATATCGCAATATTCCATTCGGCAAATATTGAAAAATTAGCCCGGGGTAAAGCCATTGCAATTCCAAAAAGTGCAAGAACTTACACCACAACAGAAAGAAAATAGACTCAAAAGAGCTAAAGAGTTGCTTCGCCTGTCGAATTTGGGTTTCTCCGATGAGAAAACATTCGTTGTCCAGCAGTTTGTAAACAAAGAAAATGATCGGGTTTACTTGCCAAAGAGGTCAGCTGAAAATGTGCACCTTCGGTTGGTCACCAGAACTCAAACGCCGGCCATGGTGATGGTGTGGGCCGCCATAACAGCCGATGGTCGCTCTCCGCTCGTATTAATCGACCGTGGCATTCATTTCCAGCGCGTAATGGCCGCCAAAATCTCCGGATACCAATACCTTGGACTATTGTGTCTGGAGTATTTTTGAAAGCAAGATTGGCACTAAAAAATACAAAAGGGTCGATTACTTCAAGTAAGCGCTTCGCCGGGAATGGGCCAAAATACCGCAGAGCAACATTCGGGCAGCGTGTGATGGTTTCATTGGCCGTTTGAAGGTCATAATTCGTGCCAAAGGTGACAAATTCGAACAAATCTAAACTTATTCTAAAATTTAATGCTATTTCCGACATTTTTTTCTTTCATTCAATAAAATGTAAAAATTATGGCGTTTGACTTTGTTGCAGATTTTTTATCTCACACGGTATATTCTTGTTTAGCGTAAAACTCTAAGACGATTTAGCCCTGTCCGTCTGTCTTTCCGTATGTTGTAATCAGTCTTTTGTGTATAGGCAGGTCAAGTTCGAAGATGGGCAATATCGGTCCACGATATCGTATAGCCCCTATATAACGATACCTCTCGATGTTCGGTATTTTGATGATTGTAGCCACATTTTTCAATGACATTGTTTGAAATTCTACACAAGGAGTTATTTGTGGGTACTTTACCGCCTGGAAGGGAATTGTCGATATAGGTCCATACGGTATCGTGGTCTCATATAATGGTACCTCCCGATATTCGGTATTTAGATGATTGTAACAAAACATTTCAATAGAGTTGTCTGAAAATCTACACAAGGAGTTCCTTCTGAGGACTTTTACCCATGGAACAGATTTGTCGATATAGGTCCATACGGTATCGTGGTCCCATATAACGGTACCTCCTGATATTTGGTATTTTGATGATTGTAACCAAAAATTTCAATACAGTTGCCTGAAAATGCACACAAGGAGTTCCTTTTGAGCGCTTTACCCTCTGGAAGAGTAATGTCCATATAGGTCCACGATACCGTATGTTTCCCATGTAATGGTACCTCCTGATATTCGGTATTTTGATGATTGTAGCCATATTTTTCAATGGAATTGTCTAAAAATCCACACAATGAGTTCCTTCTGAGTACTTTACTCCATGGAAGGTAATTGCTTATATTTAGAGTTACTACAACCTATGACGGAAAATTGCCTATGCAGGTCAACGTCTTCGTAAAGCCCACATAAAACGGTACCTCCCTCTATTCGGTATTTTGATGATACTAGCAACATTGTTCACCAAATTTTTGTTTCAAATTTCGACTTTGAAATTCGGAATCGATACTACAGCCTATGACAGAAAATTACTTATGCCGGACCACATCTTCGTATAGCCCCCATATAACGGTCTTCATTTAAGTGGTACTTCTCGATCGATTTTTTTTTTTTTTTAATTTTTTTAAGTTTCTTCAAAATAGTGGAGTGTAAATCAACAGGGACGAACTTAGCTGCTTTTTCACTTGTCTCTAAAATTTTTTAAAAAAATTCTCAATGACTTGCATTGATAGTATTTAAATATTCAGTAAATTATGAATTTTATTTATATACCACCCTAATATGTATATGTATTTATTTATTCACATGTATATGTAGCGACCACGAAGTGCTTTATGTTTTTGTTGTAGTTTTAAACAGATTGCAGCGAATGAATATTTCCACTTCCAGTATTGACTCGCTATCATCACCTCCAGTTCAAATGCACAACTATTTTGTGTTGTAATTTTTATTTGCCGCATGCAAAGCTCGCATTGAATATGGAAATGAGTAACGGATTGCATACTGGAATGTGGTATATTTTGAAATATAGGAAAATTTCCCTCAATATATAAAAATGTATCGCAAGATTTTTAATTTTAATAATGATTTCAAATTTTCATACAAATCGTTTTCCAAGTCAACCCTGATAAATTTGACTATAGAAAATATGCTTTGAATTTATTAACGCCATGGTAGAAGAATACAGGTAGCTGCATCAGCGCTTGGAAACAGTGTTATGTCAAAAAATTTTAAATGATTTTTCAAAAATAAGTAGACTTTTTATATGTTTTCCTACAGGTATATGTTTTCCGTCTGTCTGGCTGGCAGGTGCGCACGATAACTCTCGAGGGACTATCCGATTTGATCCACACTTAGTATATCATAATATTATAGATCGAGTTCGGAAATGGGCAATATCGGTCCACTCTTTCTGGTACCTCCCTCACAAAAGGTCGAAATTTTCAAAAAATATATTTTCTACACAGAAAGAGAAAGGATAATCCGATTTTTCTCCAACTTTGCAAATCCTAATATTTGCGTTAGTGCTAAGCCAGGTGTAAAAAAGGACAGTATCGGTACACTCAAAGTACCTCCCGCACAAAGTGTCAAAATTTTGAATAATTATAACTTTTATAAAATGTGGCGTAAGGGTTCGATTGTCTTCAAATTACAGACATCACAATATATTCATTAAACCAAGGTCTGGTGTGGAGATGGAATATATCGGTTCACTCCTTCTGGCACCTCCCCCAAATTTGGAATATCCATGAAGCTCCTAAAACGCGAAATTGGCATCCGATTTCATTCAGACTTGGTACATCTCCATATTTCGATCAACACAAAATATTTTATAAAGATGGAAGAGATCGGTCCATTTCTTCTGGTAACTCCCACACATAGCGTTCAAAATTTTGAGAAACAAAACGCTCGAAGAACACGAAATAAGCATCCAACTCTCTTCAAATTTCACACATCCAAATATTGTGAAAATGATTTATATCTGCGAACTCCTCCTGACCCTAACCCACAGTCACAATTTTCAATACATTTATCTATCATAACTTGCGAAACAAATCAGCGATTCTTTACAACCTGCTATATCTAAATATTTCTCTTAACCAGAAATCTGATATGAATGTGTAATTTTCGAAATTTATGATTTCGCAAAAAATTTAATATAAATGTTCGATGTCGTTCAAATTTTCCACATACCAATAAATTTATCTGTATTAGAAAAGTATGAAAATGGAATATTTCGGTCCGCTATATCTGTTAACGCATATTGCCACATTTTACAAAAATATGCGCTGGCCTTTGTATTATTTATATTAGTCTTAGGTTAGATACGAAT